ACATTATTTTATTCTATCATCAATAGTTTTCGCAGGGCACGCGATGTAAAGAATATTTTAGGTATTTTTTTTACACCTTGGGTTACATTATTGGAGTTTTAGTAAGGATCCCTAATTTTTTTCAAAAAAGCTTATAGCCTATGTCACTCGGGAATAATGTAGCTTCCAAACAGTGAAAGAATTTTTCAAATCGGTTTAGTAGTTTCGGAGCCTATTCAATACAAACAAACAAACAAATCTTTCCTCTTTATAATATTATATTAGTATTAGTTGGTTACTAAACATAATCGAAATAAATGACTCTCTTTGACTACCATAACCTCGATGACTTCTTGGAATCTGTTTATGTAATTTTATTCCTATGGCTGAAGTGGTACCTCCTAATATAGGTACTACTTCTACCTACTAATACAATTTCTTCGCGTACCATATCTCGTTTAATGTTTTTAAACTTTAGTACCGTGAACAATTTATTTAAGTATAGGCCATGACTAACTAAAGCAGTCTCGTGTATAATAATGTATAGAACGTTTTTTGAGTCCGCACGCGTAGGTACCTTTACCGTGCCTATTTCTCCCGTGAAGCAGTAATGCGTTTCGGATAGAAGGGGAGGGCAGCCGTTGTACCTACTGTAAAAACGGAGACCTAGGAACTCATATCTCAAAGTAGACGGCGGCATTTACGTCGTAGATGTCTGTGGGCTCCGGTAACCACTTAACACCAAGTGGGCCGTGAGATCGTCCATCCTACAAAGCAATAAAAAAAAACATAAATATGACTATGAAAGTACATGTAAATCTGCTTTCTTCGCACGACTCCCGTTGGTATGCACAAGAGTCTTTGATTTGTTCGCCAACTCCACACCGAGACGACGTAGTTAGGAAAACCGCTAAACCCCGCCACAAGGTCAGATTCCATCATGCAAATACCCTTGTATCTGTTCACGTCACTGTCTGTGGAAAAATATAGGATTAAACATTTTCGGCTCAGGTATTTTTTTTAAAAGTCACAGTAATTTCATTTTCTACTTGAATATTTCTAAAATTTTGATAATAATGTAGAGTAGGGCTACCAACCTACCCGTGCATATTCATAGCGTGTCAAAGAAGTAAAGCGGCAGCTATCATAGACCAAAATATATGTACATGACAGATGCTTAAAATACTAGCAATAGGTAGGCAAAAAACCATTTGATCCGTTAGTCTACCGAGCAATTTCACTAGTACGGTGGAAGATCTTTCCTCTCCCGATTGATTACCTCCAAAAAGGCTAACAGTTTAATTAATCATCGCAACATTTTATCATTTCCATTTAACATCGTCCAATGTAAAAGCTAAGGCTATAATCTTACCTCTGAGCTCTGCTAAAATGCTGAACGACGGATAAGTGACTGGAGCCCATAGACATCTACAACGTAAATGCGCCACACACCTTGAGATATAGTTCTAAGGTCTCAGTATAGTCACAACGGCTGCCCCACCCTTCAAACCGAAACGCATTACTGCTTCACGGCAGAAATAGGCGGAGCGGTGGTACCTACCCGTGCGGACTCACAAGAGGTCCTACCACCAGTAATTACGCAAATTATAAGTTTGCGGGTTTCATTTTTATTACACGATGTTATTCCTTCACCGTGGAAGTCAATCGTGAACATTTGTTGAGTACGTATTTCATCAGAAAAATTGGTACCCGCCTGCGGGATTCGAACACCGGTGCATCGCTTCAACACGAATGCACCGGACGTCTTATCCGTTAGGCCACGACGACCATAGATCTATATTTATAGATTTAAAAAGTGTATAGCTTTTAGGATTGGCGTAAATCCAGTGCTATACGTTTGCCGGATTTTAAAAACGTGAGTACCGCAACTTCACCTTGAACGTGATTGTGAATTCAAAAGGCATCGCATGGTTGAATTCAACTATAAACCTATTTAATGATTTTATTGAAATAAATCTAGCCTATATCAGTACCCCATAGACACTCATGGTAGGATTAAACCGCGATTCGGCAAACGCAGCTCGGGGTGTCTCCGGCCAGATGACGATTTACGAAAGGCCAGCGGTACGAACTAGAAGAACTGCAGACCGAGCTTAAAAGCACGTATTAGAAGAGGGCTACATATATTATTATGTATGTGTGTTCAGCTGTGGACGACTCTGGGCTGCTGTTGCCTGTATAAGAACTAAGAGGCAAACGAGCAAGACGGGTCACCTGATGGTAAGTGATTCACCGCCGCCCACGGTCACCAGCGTTTACGCTAATGACGATGCCAGTATTTCATAAAAGAACAACAGTAATAAAACCACCTTGGAGAAGTTTCACCAATGCTATTTGCAAACAATGTAATAAAAATAAAAATTGCCCGACGCCCTATCGAGGGAACGGAATGTGCGGCTTAGATTACGAGTCTTTTCAACGTGAACTTATTAAATAGAAATTATTTGAGCTCAGATTTGTTACGCCTACATTAGGTTAGTAGTTTATTGCCTTTTTGCAGCGAACAAGTCTTAACGCCCTTGTATGATTTTCTGGATGAATTACGGCTGGTCCTAGCACTAATGCTTCCCAGTATAATTATGTTACGCAGGTAAGAGTAGCGGCATCTATCGCTGAATAGTAGAAACGAATATCGAAGCTACTCGACTTGCACAGAATGTTCTCGATAAATCTAGGGATGTCGTATCGACTACACAAGCGTTGCAGAGATGGCACGAAGTCAGTCAGTAAACGGATCTACTCGATGCGAAACAGCGAACGGATCACCTGAAGCGAAGCGGAAGAAGTGAATTAAGAATTTTGAAGTGTTCTGACTGTTAATACAGTTTCAATTTATACTTCGGTAGAATTTTTATTTATCCGGAACCCCAGCGCGTAACAATTATATTCTACAATTTTTACAAATTCATGTTCATAAATGTTAATAAATCTGTACGAGTCCGTGTTGAATGAATAAAACATACCGGCAATAGCGTCCACACCATCACCCGCCTTTTCATTGTTAGCAACGTAAACTAATTCAGTATTGTGCTTGAAATTAAAGAATATGATGTACACATCGTGTCCCACGGCGAAAACGTCTTTTCCAATAAATGTTAGAAAATCTAATCTATGCGGGATCGCCCATCTGTTTAAAATATAAATAATAACGAATAAGTTAAGTATTGGCTGAAATAGACGGTTAAACAAGGCAATGGCAATGTTACTGCTGATTTTCAACGCAATCTAAATCTCAATTATAGTAGAGTGGTGATTATCCTTTTCTTTAAAGTATAACATCAAGCAATCGCTGCTCGATAGGATTAGACGAAAATAGTTTTAAATTGCAGGGACAGAGCTTACGCCCCACCGCGATATTGGTTCACGGCGGAATCAAACATGACGGTGTTACCAAACCATCTGATTTCAAAATACCAGCCATCCTATTAGCTGCAAAGCAGATCCAAGAATATGGCGTGTAAGCTGCTTTAGATACGTCTTGCGTAAGATTAACCGCATGACGGATGACCACACTCTTCCATACCATGCTGGTTTTGACCCAGCGTGGTATCGTGGGGTTATGAACTGGCGACATCTCGCTATTTAAAGCCCGTCAGCTCAAAGGCTTAGCACTCATGTCGCCGTCGATCGCTGGTCCGGTGTCCAGTGAGGGTAAGGAACCTGGGTGACACGTCCTCCGCACGAATTGCGTCATCTTACCCCTAGTCTGTCTCAGATGAGCTTGGTCTCAACTGAGCTTGGGACACAATTGTTGAGCGATTCGAATCCGACCGTTATATTGTTTCTATAGACATGGGTATACACACAGTAATGTCGTCAATTAATATCAGTACCTAACAATTTTTGGATTCTTTAAATGTGTAAATGAACTATTTCATTTTTTTCTAGATATCTTACAAATAGATTTATTTATGTTAATACATGCCTTACTTTAGGAATGAAGGTTCCTTCTGTTTCCGCTGATTGAACAGAATTTTCCACCATACTTTAGTCTATTTTTTCCTCTTTATGCTAAAATTAATTCACTGTCATTAAATAAATCCTCCAAAGGTAGTGTGTTTTCAATTTATTTGCTTATTATTTCTCCGAGGTTTCCTTGGTAACAAGCTAATGGATTTTTTTTGTAGGAGGCAAATAAAATATTGTTAGATATCTATGTATGGTACGGCTTCCTGCATCGCCATTGTTGTCCGTGTCGAGTTTAAAAGATCCTCAACTACTTTATTATATTTAATGGAATGGAAGGAAACGAGACGAAACGAAATTAGACGAGATTAGGTCAAATGGAATAATATCCCAGTCAATGGTAAAAATATAGTGAACATCAGAGAGATATAAAACACCTGAGATTTATTTTCTATTTGGATATTACATATGACACGAAGTTTCAGAGATGCTAAACCGTTAATAAGTCACTATGTAGGTACTATGTACCTACTACTATGTAGGCTAGTGGATCCAGGTCATTCAAAACGTACTTTAGAGCATCGATGTTTGGCTGGTGTGTGAGTCGGGTCAGGAGTATAATTAGTGGCGAACATAGTATAGGAGTTATCGAATTAAAACGAATGGGTTTTACAGAAATTACAGAATCATCTATCCATCGGTTCAGGTAAACAGTTATTTTAGACATTGTCTCTAGGTAGGTGATGTCATTTAAATTGTAGTGTCTCTGTGAACCGGTAACTAATTAACATGAGCTGGATGGTGTGCGTGTATAGCTAGATCAATAAAAATGGAATTAATTTTGATTGGATTTTTTTATTGCATGTTATTTATTTTCCTAATGTTTTAGAGTCGAGTAGACTTTTTAGGCTAATGTTGGGTCTTATTTAGTTTATATCAAATTGCAAATTTGCAAATAGTAAATTGCACATGTAAGCTTTCTTATTAATTGTAAGGTGTTAGTCATAAAAATAATGAAACAATAGTGAATACGTGAAATGGAACGTGTTTGATATTTTACCGATTTATTGTCATTAATGTCAAAAATTGTTCTGAAGACGGGAAGTTGAAGTTTGGTGATTAAATTGATAGGAAAATATCAATAAAAATAAGATGAAAGATGAAAAACTCGTACAGTGTTTTTATTTCTAGCTTTCAGTTTGCACTTAAGATGTGAAAAAAGATAAAAATATCAACTTACTTGTCAATATGTGAGTAATTTATATTTGCGTAGCTATAACTCAGTGTTTATATTCGTTGTTTAATACTTTTTATAGCTAAATTCTTTATTGAAATTTAATGAAGTGATGAAAATCGTATGTTCAGGGATAATACGACCGACTCGTGGGACGACCCAGTGGCTCAAAGATGGAACACATCCTCGCTAGAAATAGGAAATATTACAATGGATCGAAATTTCGCCCTCCTCCTGGTGTCCTTAATATCGGCCATGCTTTGGGTTGTTTATATAACTTATTACAATAGCAGAGTCCTGGGCTTTATATTAACGAGGCTGATCAACAAGTTCTATTTCCAAGATGAGAATTTTAAGATAGGTGAGTCTTTGTTTTTCACAATTATTTTGAACCTTGTACCCTTGTGTAAGTGCTTAATAAAGTTTTTATATATATTATCATCACTATTAATTCTCGTAAGTTTACTTCAAATCTATAATTCAAATCCTTTGAATATCTGTATTTTAATTATTTGTTAGATATTTATTTAATGAAGTTTGTTTTGTAATAAAGAAAAACAAATACTTAGTTTTGTTTAAGGATTTTAATTTTCTACTATAGTTTGTTGGTTTAGTAATTAATTGAATGAAAACACAAATCAACCAAACCAATTGTACTTTACTGGTATCAGATAATGATGTATTGTTATCAAAATGTTACAAAAGTAGGTGATTCAAAGTTGAGTGAATATTATGAATTGTTTTTAATCTTGATTGGTTGATTTTGACAATATCTGTAGTGTTAGGTTAATATCGGCATTACTTATACAACAGGACCTAAAGAGATCTTTCTAGAGTTCAACAATCTGCAATCTTTTAGCTACTAGGTATTAAGCACATATACTTAGTTGTTTAAGTACCTTTGCTGTTTTATCAACTGTCATGTTAAGAACTGGCAAAGGAAGGCAGTTAGCATATAGTTTTAGTGGTAGAAAAATGTGAATGATTTTCATAATCTTCTTAACTCAATAGAACAATGTGCTACACATGTTTTGAAGTTGTCATGGCCTAAAGGATAAGACATCCGGTGCATTCATATCTAGCGCTGCACCGGTATTTGAATCCCACAGGCGGGTACCAATTTTCCTAATGAAATACGTACTTAACAAATGTTCATGATTGACTTCCACGGTAAAGGAATAACATTGTGTAATGAAAATCAAACCCGTTAAATTATAATTTGTGTAATTACTGGTGGTAAGACCTCTTGTGAGTCCGCATGGATAGGTACCACCACCCTGCCTGTTTCTGCCGTGAAGAAGTATGCGTTTCGGTTTGAAGGGTGGGGCAGCCGTTGTTGAGACCTTAGAACTTATATCTCAAGGTGGGTGGCGCATTTACGTTGTAGATGTCTATGGGCTCCGGTAACCACTCAACACCAGGTGGGCTGTGAGCTCGTCCACCCATTCTAGCAATAAAAAAATAAAAACATAAATCATTTCAGGATCATTTACCTTAAATGCCTTGTCAGGCAAGATCATGTTTCGAGACATTGTGTATATCAACTATGACTATACACTACGCATTCAAGATGGATACTTGATATTTAGGTGGTGGAGGTCATATGTACCTAAGGATGTTTCTGAAGGTAATCTAATTATTAAATATTTTTCTGCAATATGTTTTCAGTGTCAGAATAATCAATACCTTTTTTAATAAACAACTTTATTTAATAGTACTATAACTTTGTTAATTATGAATGCAAGTAAGTAAAATTATTTTTTTCAAAATGAGTTGTCTTTGTGACTTTGTATGAGAAATTTAATTTGCGTAACTTATTTATTAGAAATTTTCAATGAAAAATTTTATAGCATTATAGCATAGTGTCAGATATATCATAAAATACCAAACAAATATAATGTACCTAAAATAAATCATATTACTTCCTCTTATATATTTTTATTATAAAGTAAATGTTATTTAATTTAGTTTAGATGGTGGACCAAGACAAATACCACTAAAACTTGGCCATGCATTTCTGTGGACTACTCTTTAATGTTTCACACATTGGTTACACATTTGTTAAAATACTCAACAACATTTCATGTTTAGATATCAAAAAACTTTTGAATAAACAAATGTACCGACATTAATTTTATGGGTGCTGAAAAAAAATATTGGAAAGATTATTGTGGTTTACTGATAATAAAAATTTGACATTTTCTTCCTTTAGTAATTGATTAGGTCTAAGAAAGGGAAAAACTAGTTCTGTTGTCTTGAACTATTTTGGCAAATTAACATAAGTTTTAACTCTGTAAATCAATTTATTAAATTTGCTAAGTTTTATCTGATGTGGAAGTGGTCTATCATACCATGTAAAGTAATTTCCTCAAGTTCTGAATCATGTGGACGACCACATCTAAACCGATTATCAAATTAGTGGCCACGAAACTAGGCAAAAAAGCTAAATTTATATCTAAATTATTTGTGAACTGGTTTCTTTATTATAATAATATAATAATAAGCCTTTATTGCTGTTTTACTAACTTAATACATTACTTAATAATAAATTAAATTTAAGTGCAACTTATAATCAATATCAATTATTCCGTTCGGCGTTCGGTGTGGTTTTAAAAACAGCTTGTCTCTCGACAAAGGCCTCTTTTATTAATAACCCAGAACATAAAATGGGACATTTGAAACTATCCCTTAACAATGTCTCCTCTTAACAGTGTCCATATCTGTTCACGGTCAGAAAATGACCGATAACTATCTGTTGACCTTATCTGCTTTTGATGTAAAGAAATATGATCAACAGATAATTTGGAAAATCTGCTAATGATATTTATAATTACATATTGTTTGATATTTATTCTATTGTATAGTGATTTAATGCGATTTTCCCAACGTTTCGTAAGCCTTACTATATCTGTTAATTGGATAATTAAGGTCAATGTAAAAGGTTCGTTTTGTAGATTAGTGTTCTAAATAATGTTTCTAATATAAAGATTCGTCAAATACTATTTCAGACCTATCACACTCCGATACCCGATTATCGATCGTCTTAAATGGTTTCGAGCTGCACTTCTATAATCGATGCGAAATGTATAGCGAACTCGAAAAAATATTTGGCCTCGATCCCGGCGTCAAGCAGCAGAACGATGATGATTCGATCGACAGAGATAAGGCTATGAATGATGCTAATGAGAAAAGGAGACGAGCACAAGACACAGTCAGATCCGAGGCGGCCATGGCCAGAACGTGGCGTGACCTCATACCTGTCATTAAAATAGACATATGTTCCGGTAGGATAGTCTTCGGCAATCGTCTGGTTCCGACGACCCTCTCGATAAGTATCGAAGAAGCTCATCTAGTCTACAGCACTAAACCTCCTGCTTCAAGCTTAGATCACTTGATGCATTTTGTGAAAGCAAAGGCAGAAAATTGTAAAGTGATTCTTGCGCCCAGTCCAAATTATACTTCAATGGTCGACGAACCTCCTAGGTACATGGGTGAAGGTTTCGTCGTCATGAGTTCGAATTATATTGAAGTGTATTTCTACATGGACGAACCGGGTCTTGTACCAGAACAGCCTGTGCTGTTACAGTTGGCCAATGGAGATATAGTGGAATCTGCTCCACCTATTTGGGGTGTCGACATTAAATGTGGTAAGGGAACAGATTTCAGTTATGGCCCGTGGGCGGATAGGCAGAGGGATCATTTATTCAGATTTTTCTTTCCCCCGAATTATAAAAATTTAGAAGTCACTCCACAACCTAAACCGGGTGACAGACGACAGACCCAATCATTCGATATTAGACTCTCGACATTGAACGAAGCTACCATAGACATTCTGTTCACGAAAAATAAAGAAACAAACGCGGTACACATTAATATTGGTGCAGGATCATATCTAGAGGTTACCCTACCCTGGATAGTTTTACAAGATGGTTACACAACTAAGATCACTGGTCAGCTACTTCACTTGGAAGCTACTACCAGTCTTCAATACAGAAGTTTAGCTGAAAGCGAAACATTAGAGTACACTGTGAAGTGTCATTTTCCTTTAGTTTGGAATCATCATCAGTGCTGGCAGTTGTCATTGACTGGGTGCAAGGCGACCACTCATCTAGTTTACACACACATAGATTTTTTCCAAGACCTAATTAACGACTGGGCGTCGAAAGCACGACCAGATATTTTACACTTTGTCCCTTACACGTGGAAGATATCGCTTTTACTCAAAGAATGTGAGGTGATTACGGTTAGTAATCAGTACAATTGGATAGATTGCAGCTCTACTAATCAAGAAAACAACCACGTTGCGTTTTGTGGTGATTTACTCGATGTGTCGTTTGATTTGCCATTCACTGATTTCTTGCCTGACGTCATCCCGCTTAAGATTTGGGTCCAGGGTGAAGCTGTCGATATGAGTTTGTACCTTCCTGAAGTAAACACTTCGCGATTACTTCTCCTATCCCTTGACAAAAACATGAAACTGGTTCCCTGTAGATTAAAAGCATCCAAGTGGAGAAAAAAATGTGTTAAATCCCAAGGTTGGGTCGATTGCTGGTCGGTCCCGATAGTAGCGTTGAGTGTCCAATACAATTATCATCCGATTCCTCCGCTCGGACCAGAACCCCAAGCAGACATTACGACACCAGAAAAAGAAGAAATATTATTATCACCGATGAGAATACCGCGAATGAGAAAACAGCCTCAGATCAATTGGCCTATAGATGGAAGCAAGTTTGATCGCACTTCCCTCGCACCAGATAAAGTAAGCGTGGAACTAGAGGTGGGTCCGTCAATACTATTGGCATACGGAACTATTATTACGAGTTTCATGAATTTGCTTGAAAATATATTTGGAGAAGACCAGACCTTCACTGACATGCAAAAGACACCGAACATAGATCCGTTTTATTGGACGAGTGAAAATAGTACGAAACTAAATGACAGAAGCAGCGTGAATCAGCATACAGAAATATCGATCGATGACTCATCCGACGTCAGCAAAGGTCCCTTTGATCCTCGCAGATATCGGCCTTTAGACGTGACGGTGTCCATAATTATACATGACATACAAGCGCATCTGGTAAAGAATTGTAGCGAGAACGAGCCACCTTGTCCAGTCGTGCTTATTGAAAGATTCGGATTCGAAATGGACAAATGCTTCAAAGAGACCAAATTACAACTCCTATTGAGTCCCTCGATATTGGTGTCTGCAAACAATCTCTCGAGAAATAATCCAGTGAATTCTGGTGCTTTGTATCAAGGTCATTTGATGCTATCGTCGTTTCAGTTAAGGGGGAACGGGTTCTTCAGTGACACCAATCGTAATGTCGAAGAAGACACAGTTGAGTACGCATGGATGATGGAACTTCAATTAGGACAGTTGACTGGTCGGATGACGTTGCCCCAGTTATACCAAGTAATCTCATCTCTGGAGACGTTTTTGCTGTTGATTTGCGACAGTCAAAACGAATTGATCCCGCCGAATTCTGCAAAACATTGTCACCATGGTTTGAATAACGTCATGTGTCCTGAGACAGACTTCACATTAAAATACCGTTGTCCCACCGCTAATGAGATAAAGTATCGTATGATTCGCGTCGCCATCGACCTCATCGACATTTACATTGCCGATTCTAATACGACGTTACAAACTTGGTTGTCGCCTCTTAGGCTTAGCTTTTGCAATCTTCACGGGGCCGGTTTCGCAACGGGTGTCACAGGATTACTGCCCAACATTAAATTAGTTCTCTATACACAAACTAATATGCAAACAAACGTTCACCATCATTCGAGCGGCAGCACCAATAGCCAGAACAGACCAAGCGAAAATGAAAATTGGGTCGGCGTGGGTTCTGTTTCCCTGGGCCCTCTACTCATCGAAGCTGCATCATCACTGCCACAAACCCCAAAGAATATGCATTTAGTTCAACAGAAATTTTTGAGGCTTCACGATGACAAGACCAAAAGATTGTGGTTCTTGTGGCCTAATGATAGTAGAACGTCACAGTGTGGCTGTACAGGGGGGTGTGCATTCTTCGGAACAAATCGAAACGGACCAAACTTCCTCAAACCGACTCCTTCTGATTTAAATGAAGGCATCAACGTGGCAATGTTCAATGTAATAGAAACAGCTCCAGGAGAATATGGTTATGGGCAGAGCTTGTTACATAGTGGACAACTAGTTTTTCATACCCCTCCGTATAATACGATGAATGTATGTTTGCAACCTACCAACGTGTCTACGTTGATACCGTCCCCGCTGCCCCAAAACTTGAGCAAATCTCCGCAGAGTACTGAACGCAGAAGTCTGACGCGTAGATTTTCGTACACGAGCATGGGTAAGGGCAGCAATAATATATTAGTTTCGAGCACCAAAAGTGATGTGCCTTACGCTCGGTTAGTCGATTCCACGATACCTCTCGGTAGCACCAAGATTGNTACCAACGTGTCTACGTTGATACCGTCCCCGCTGCCCCAAAACTTGAGCAAATCTCCGCAGAGTACTGAACGCAGAAGTCTGACGCGTAGATTTTCGTACACGAGCATGGGTAAGGGCAGCAATAATATATTAGTTTCGAGCACCAAAAGTGATGTGCCTTACGCTCGGTTAGTCGATTCCACGATACCTCTCGGTAGCACCAAGATTGACAGCGATTCGAAATTGAACAAGAGCGTTTTAAGCGTACCCCAAATGGAGAGTAGTGTTTCCGATTCCAAACTAGCGATGACTTGTGTGGCTAAGGATAACGCCAATACAACATCGAAGAAACAAGCTACAACTGAACATGAAACGTTTGTAGTACCTAAAGTTCCGTCTCGGTCGGTAGCCGTGTCCGAGTCACATTATTCACTTAATTCTCAAGTGCCGCAAGAAGACGCCCTAAATCCAGAAGTCCAGAGAGCTATGTCAATTACTAGCGAAAATCATTCCGAAGCATTCTTCTCCGCTGATGAGGACATGTTCCCCAGTCGATCTTCAAGCTTGAAACATTCCTTTGGTAGTCGCCATAGTAACCCTAGAGATAAGAGTTCGTTTGCAATTAATGACATAACAACGAACGAGAAATGGACTAATTCTTTGACCAAGTCGGAGCACGCGGATGTTCCAGATACAATCAGCAATTTGAGTGCAGGAGTTCAACCGGATTCAGAGAGTGGTTCGGTGTCGTCTACATCTTTCATATCTGCGATATCATCTCAAGAAGATATGACTCTTGTTAATCTACATATGCAAACTAATAAACCTATTGTGGAGTCCCCCCTACTCATGGCCAGCTATATGCAAAATCTCCCACAATACAGATGTTCTAACTGGACCACATGCTCTTTACCGAGTGGCAGTGATGCGTTCACTTTACCACTTTTCAAAAGAGCAGACGACGGTAGCTTGGTATACGTTGGTCAAAAATATTTACCAAAATTTGAAATACTTGGAAAAGTGAATATACTTAAACTGATTGCCAAGAAAGACGTTCACAGCAATCAAAACCAACACGGTCCTTATTCGAATTTGGCGCCACATTTCAATTCTCAGATCAAAGCACATCCATACCCTCAGGGTTGGTGGGATATTCAGCAAAATGTACAGGATAACCAAGAAAATAGTACCGATAAAAGCACAACTTCTACAGCGACCACCACGAGCGACAGTAAAAGCGGACTGTTCATCAAACTGCGCGGAGAGGTCGATATGATGTTGACGCCACTCGTTTTAGAAAGCACTCAAAAGTTCGTAGAGTCACTCACACCGGTCTTAGCAAATATTCACCCGATAACAGTGATCAGTCATCTACGCCTATTATGCATATCGACTGTTGAAAGTTCAAATATATTGAAACAGAAACAGTATGTCCAGAACTGGCTTCCTCAGATGGAAGGCCGAAACCAAACCAAGGTTATACAGAGTAAAGACGACAAGTGTAAACTGGCCACCATACCGCACTGCAACGTTTACGAAGAGACCATTTGTGAGCAGCTGCAAGCCACGGTCTCAGTGCCCAAAGTTAATATTGTCTTTATACAATCCTCAGTTGTTGAAGACATGATTTCATTTGCGGCCCTAGACAATATCCAAGACCTGACTTGCGTGTCTCTGTTTGGTATGGCCATAGAGAATGTTGTTGCCAAATTTGTAAGTTCTAAAAAAACATTAGAATCAGTGCAGTTGTACTACAGACCGACGTTAAGAGCACTGGGAAGTAAGAAATCGTTTGGTATCATGAAAGGGCCAAGGGCATTGATCTCAGCTCAGTCTTCTGGTCGAAAACGGGGCCAGGAGAAGGGTGAGCCGGTGTATATAGAAACTTCTCAGCAACAGTGTGAAGACGTGACCTTCACTTTGAACGTCGGTGAGTATTCAATCATACAAGGTTTCTGTTTCTCTAAAAAAGTATTTTGACTTAGGTATTTCATTTCTGCTTTAAGGTAAAGTTCACGGTCAACTACGGCGGATTCGGAATGAATCGTCTCAGCTAAAGGACGCCACAATAACGGGCATACCGTCTCAACATTCCAAGGTCTCGTTCAATTTTATCAGAGTCGATTCAAGTACTAAGGGCTGTGAAACATTGGTAAGTATGCCTTGTAAATGATTAGTGCGTAATTATGCCTTTCACAATTTTGTTAACTACATTCCTCTTTAGGGCTGTCAGAACGGATCAGCGGATAATCAAAAAGATACTTCAATCGGCTTTATCATGTTTGAATGTGGCCTGGAAGGCGTATCTATCAAAGTATCTAAACATTCTCAGTCAAACAAACAAAACGAGGAAAAAAAACCGATCAAAGCCGATACGGAGAGCTGCAGGGAATCCGTTAAATCTGCAGAAGAATTAAAACCCGATAAAGAAAAGACGACTAAAAGATCTACCGGCATCGAAGACTTGTTCAGGAAGAGAGATTCTAATTCTAAGCCAAGTACTCCAAACTTGGGGACATCTCAGCCGCCTCCCGTTCCCCCCGTGCCTCCCGAACCCTCGACCCCAGGGCCAGACGAACCCTCGAACGACAGCAACATGACGATGGTCCCAGTCAAAGATAACGGGAACATGTCATCCTGCGCAATAGACCTTAAAGTGGTTTGGTTCAACTTCGCGGCTCCGCCACGGACGCCGATCACCAAGAAAATTGACTTTACAAGGTTTGCCAATCACCATAATATTAAGTGTTGCTTCGTGTCTTGAAAGGTTTACACAATATTGTGCTGTTTGCAATGTAGATTGGATTGGAACTTGCTGAGCACGGCGTCGCCGGCGATCAACGCGTGGATGAACCCGTGCAACCGGCTCGGCATCCGCGTGGTGGCGCTGTACCGGGCGCACGCCGGCCGCCTCACCGCCACCGCCGCCAGCCTCATGGCCGCCGCGCTCGACCTGGCGCCGCACCACACGCTGCCCAAGGTATGGCCGCACTCTGGACGTACTTGTCGGCGTTCAGTCAGGGTTTTCACACATAAGTTCTTTTACAATGAAAATACAATACAATTCTATAAAACTTTAACATTACTTATTTATTACAAAAAGCCACGTCTTAGTTCTTACACAATTAGCCATTTTGTGATGGTTATAGCAACTAGAACTTCTTTTATACAAACAAATGTAATTACTGCGAAACAATTCACAAAATATAGCTTAATATTCACAATACATATTTTAGTGATTTTTATATGACTGACATCAATTTATTATACATGAATTACTTTTAGCTTATATAAGCTAACATTGTTATTATCCAGCCTAATAATAGATGGCGCCAACATCATTTGCATAACAATTACAATACTTAATTAATATAAATTATAATATAATTAAAATAATAATTATAATATAAATTTATGACTGACATCAATTTATTATACATGAATTACTTTTAGCTTATATAAGCTAACATTGTTATTATCCAGCCTAATAATAGATGGCGCCAACATCATTTGCATAACAATTACAATACTTAATTAATATAAATTATAATATAATTAAAATAATAATTATAATATAAATTATTATTAATATTTATGCTTTATTAATATTTAATTATTTATACAGTCATTTGTGTTTTTAAACAATAATTATGGCGTGGCGTTTGCGCCCATATACTCCATGAGCCTCTCGAGTAGGAAGGTGACGCGTCGAGTTTGGTCGGCAGAGCCGCTACGGTCGGCACACGGCCATGGCGAAGCAGCTGCGGGAGGAGCCGTCGCTGCAGCTGTGCGGCGTGCTGCTGCGGTACGCGCTGCTGGCGGACGCGGCGGCCGTGCAGGCGGACCTGGCCGACCGCCACCTGCCCTCCTTGTCCACGCTGCGCCAGGTGAGCCGCCTCGACCACATAAGTACTAATTCAATTTAAACTAAAGAAGCTTATACGGACTTTTTTTTTATTGCTTAGATATCGCACTAATAATTTCGTAATCTGTACTAATATATAAATAATACATACTATACATATAAATAAAATTGGTTTGTAATATTGAAATAGCCGCTTTTTACTACATGCGTATGAATTTAAATACTGTACATACAACAAAATAGCAATTTTTATAATTTTTGTCCGTCTGTCTGTCTGTCTGACTGTTTGTTCCGGCTAATCTCCGGAACGGTTGAACCGATTTTGACGAGACATTCACTGATAGGTAGCTGATGATATAAGGAGTAACTTAGGCTTCAATCGCGGTACGACAATAGCCGTGGGTCTCATCGCGGGACTCTGCTATCAATAATAGAATTTAATGTTTCCGAAGCGAAGCGAGGGCCGGTCACTAGTCTATCTATCTATCTATATAAAAATGAATTGCTGTTCGTTAGTCTCGCTAAAACTCGAAAATGGCTGGATCGATTTGGTTAATTTTGGTCTTGAATTATTTGTGGAAGTCCAGAAAAGGTTTAAAAGGTAGATAAATATGAAAATGCTCGGAATTAAATAAAAATGACAATTTTGCCACCAATTTTGCTTTCCCTTTGATGTGTTCCCCGTCAGACGGATTCCTTTTGTTTATTTTATATAAAAGTTTAGGTCTTTTATTTCTCGATTGAGGCACTGCGAAGTCAGTCGGGTCAGCTAGTAATAAAACATTTTATTATTGCGCCAAAAAGATGTGTCCGTGCACACACAGTGTCCCGCTGAGTCATGATGCTGACGACAATGTCTTGTGCACGAACACATACAAATTGACACACGTGTACAGTAAGGGCATGTGTCGTGCAGGGGGTGATAGTGCTGAGCCGGCAGTGGAAGAACATCCTGTACACGCCGCTACTGCTGGAGCACAACTACAAGAGCAAGGTCATGAAGCCGCTCAACGTCACGTTCGCGCTGCCGGACCTGCTGGAGGTGAGCGCCCCGACTTGCCCATACTCAATCCTTAGCTTTATTCATTTTGTGATCATTCGTATCCAAATGACGCGCTGTCAGTTATTGGCCATATCTATACTAATATATAAATCTACAATGGTTTTTACGGATGTTCCGTTATAACAACTGAAACAAGCATCTGATTGACTTGAAACTTGGCATCCATTTAGAAAATACATGTACTGTTAATGGATAGGCTAATATTTACATGAGTGTTGGACTCTCTAATAATAATGTTAATTTTAAATGCGCAGCGAAGCGGGCGAGTACGACTATATATTATTATATTACATTGTGTATTTGTATGTTTATTTATGAATATAATATGTATGTATATGTGTATGTGTATGTATATTTTTCACTGGATTGGTACACCGCGTGTAATTCGTTTCCAAATGATTTTTGTTGAAATGTAAAAAAATTATTCCGGAACAGTTGGATTGACGACGATTTATTTCGACAATCTTAAAGTTAAGTGATTGTTGAAAATTATTCACACTACTTTTATTTAGCTCATAGAATGTTTTTCTTAGATGTACGAAAACGGTGGAAAATATGTATGATATTAGAAAGTTCTCAATAGTCATTATTACATACACAAAAGAGCTTGCGGTGGTAGATATAATATTTATATCGTAAGATTTGAAAAATCATTCTGTGTGATAACGTATTAAAATACATTTTAACAATATTCGCCATAACCACGTCTCTCTGAACAAAATTAAAACAGCTGTTGCTTCTAAGTGCTCTAAATAAAGAACGCATTGCATGTACACATACAAAAGTCCATCATCCGTATACATATCCATGTGTCTTGAAACTGCCGATTAATTGATTGAAGGTAATCTTAAAGATACATCGAATTCAGAGTAGTTTATTCTAAATTTATCTTCAATAGGATTCCGTTGAAGGATGGCAGGAGTACCAGCTCGACGAGGCACTGGACGAGAACTGCCTGCTCCTCAACATGGATGTAGACAAAGCGAACGCTCCCGGTAAGCATAAAAAATATAATTTTAGCGTATATAACGTAAAATAAATTCACTTGAATCACGTTAGCTCAATTTTATCATTCAAAATTATTCTTTATATAGTAATTTTTTGGCAATTTTCATATGTGCATCTGATACAAATATGTGCATCTGAACATATCTCTATTTTCCAATTTTAGTTATAATATTCTAAAACTTATTTGAAATAAGTGATATAAAAGTGTTTTATGTTTCAAAAAGAGGATATCATTATGAAGTTATATAATTAAGTAAAATATGTAAAAAAAATCGGAAAACTTACTAATTAATAAAAACAAGCCTGTTTTTTGGTAAATTAACAAACCGGAAATAGGGATTGAAAAAAGCTTTCAAGATTTTGAATTGTTGATGATGATTTTTTTGAACTTATAACATAATGTGTAATGTAATGTGTAATTGAGATAATGCTGTTTGCACACAAGCGGTTGCGCCGCAGATGAGTACGCGCCCGCACTCGTTCCCCTCCACGCCGCCGTCCGGTGCGTACGCGGCCTTACGGGCGCTACACATAGACGTTAGAATTATTTGTCAACACCAGTCAACCCCGTCCTGTTGCTTTGTTTATATAAACGCAGTATTTTTTTCGGGTTTCGTCACGGATTGTAGATATAACAGACATAACATTACAACTACCCTGGTCGTTCTTAACAACGGACACTAAATTATTATAAAAATTAAACAGTAAATGTAGTTTAGTAAGTTGTTACAAATACAGAAACTCAAGACAGCAAACAATATTTAAAAAAAAACGAACACATAATATAACTTGTGGAAAATTTGAAAGGAATGCAAAAGATGTGTGCGTGAAATAAAATGTCGGATATTTGTGATAAACAAGTTTAGCCATTTGGTTTTAGCTTGTTATTCGTTAATAGAAAATTGCAAATGTCAAGATAATTAACGATCAAATGACAAAAATTAACCAAATTAAGCAGAAGAAATCAGGAAACATTTTTGTGTTTAACTTTTAGTGAACTTTTTCTTTAAAAGCTATAACGGAAAATGGCCAAAAGAAAAATGGCCAAAAGATTATACAGTCATAAATTTCTATAGAGAAAGCTATAATTGCCGCTTCTAGCACTTCGAACTGCTTTCAGTTTGCCCTCTTCCGGGTATTTCCGCATTTTAATTCTTCCCTCCCCTGGGTTCACGGAGAATGCGTCAATTATTTTTTCCCTATTTCAGTCTCCTTTCAGAAATCAGTCATTATAACCCGAGAAATACAACCATTTTTTGCTTTCCCTGTTTTACCCATGAGTATATTTGTAAATTATTAAAAAAGAAAGTTAAAATATTTTTACAATTAAATCGATAAAAATAATACTTTGAAATCATTGTTTTAAACTGAGTTTACTTATTATTTTATTTTACCAGGAAATAAGTTATTTGATGTATGACGAAAAACGAAAAAAAAAAACAAAGAAATTCTAACGTTTATGTATGAAATCGCTTAGATATTTTTGTTGTTTTATAAATAACTTCATTCCATGAATGTCAGCTTTCTAGAATTGGAAGTTTAGCTGTGTATAAAAGCTTGGAGCGATTTAAAGTGTTTTGAGATTAAGGCATGAATCGATACATGACTATAAGATGTAAACGATTTCATATCTACATAATTCATATGTCATATATCATTTCCGTTGGCAATCTATGGCATTCTGGAAAATAATAAACTAACATACTAAATTTACAATACAATTCAATATAAATATCTTGGCTTTGAATTCTTCAACGCTGTTAAATATATTATAACGCTTATGCCATATGCAATTAAGTTTGTTTTCGAAACTCACAAATAATGACTAATAATAATGATTAAGCATTAAGACTAGCATCGCTTTAAGCATGACATTTATCCCTACATCATTAGTCATTATACAATACGTTTGTTTAAAATAACCGCTCGATGTTCTTTTGTTAAACAATGCATTTATACGTTGCTGTTCTATTGTTTTAGCTTTGCTTTATAAAAACAGTTGGATGTTTTTCAAAAACATATAATGGACTAAGTTTATTTATGTTTTATCTGTTTGGGCAGCAAAGCAAGTATATTAGGTTAACTAAAATAGGTATACAACCAACATGTAGGTGCAAATATTTATGCCAAAATAGGGCATAAGATAAGTCTTCTAGCTTATGCATAGGATTTCAAATTGTAACGTATATGAGCTCCAATAACTCCTAAAACTGGATAGGATGTAAGCCAGTCTGCCTTCGTAATATCTAATAAAATATTTTCCCCATGCAGCAGTTTGTTTTCATATTGTTCATCGTGGTTTAAGGATTTTATTGATAACCATTTTCTCTCATTATCTATGAACTTGATGAGAACAATTATGCGCTCAGTAAATAGTAATCTGTGATCCATCTTGTAATTTATATATCTTAACAAATCAATGCAGCTTCTGAATTCTGTCGCTTTTTTTCATTCTCAGTTATAGATGTAGATTTCATACTGTTATTTGGATTCGTGTAGAAAACTGTGGTTATAACTCTGAATTTTCCGCCTACCCGCTAATCCCGGTTCTTGGAACAGTTCGAGCCGCCCAAAGCAGTCGGGCGAGTCTAGTGTTCCCATCGTTGCCATTCTCGACAAGGAAAACGCCTTTCCAGGATGATGCCATAGCTGGTAAGTTTACATCTCAATCTCCGCTAAGGAGAAGATTCAAAATTGTTAAAAATAAAATCCACATGCAATGAATCCACTACAGACCAGACATGAGTCGAACCCCCAAACACAAAATATCTTTAACGAAGTGTCTTTTGCCGGGAATCGAATCTGGACCCGTGCTATAGTAGTCACGGGTTTTAACTATTAGATAGAGGTAGCGATCATCAAGCTCTCGAAAATCAATAGTCTCGATTTATTTTTCATCTACCTTCCACTGGCTGATGAGTAGGCTTAAATGCAATGGAGTGCCATTGAATATTATGATGTCAATATATGACTAAAGTCTTTAGAAAAACTAAAGTAATTCTAGAAATTGAGTTTAAGTAGTAACATATGTTTCTTAGATTAATAAATTACATTCTGTGTTAGTCTTTAAATATAATAAAAATATAAAGACGAATGAGTTTGTTTTGCCTTCTTAGGACTGTGATTCCTTTAGCGATCGGTGGTGGATCTACTTATGGACACATTTAACAACAATGTAAAAGATAAACTCCAGCTCAAAGGAGTTTTTGCTTGAATCCAGATTACGGGACCCTGAAAGAAGACTTGCCGACTGTCGGCTCTAATCCGTCTCTGTACTCTCCGCACGGGAGCGAGGAGAACATCAAGAACGATCGCGCCAGGGAGGACCTCTACCAGTGGATGGCCAAACAGGAACCTATCAAGTCTGTGAGTGAGCACGTAATTCCGTTTGCTCTATTACTTGAATTGCGAAATTTTTTTTTATGTTTTTATTGCTCAAATGGGTTGACGAGCTCACGGCCCACCTGGTGTTAAGTGGTTACTGGAGCCCATAGACATGTACAACGTAATTGCTTGTTGTAACGTAATTGATTGTAAAAAAGTTACAACGGCTGCCCCACCCTACAAGCCGAAACGTATTACTGCTTCACGGCAGAAATAGGCAGGGTGGTGGTACCTACCCGCGCGGACTCACAAGAGGTCCTACCACCAGTAATAAACACTCCAGAAGTATAAAATTGATTTATTGTTTCTCAGCAGGAGAAGAGCAAGAAGCCGATGATATCAGCGTCGAAGATGAACCCTCGCACGGTGACGTCACTGCCGGCCTGCAGCCTGTATCCTGTGCAGGGCTCGCTCATGCTGCTGGACGCGCATCTCGTGTTCCAGCCGCTCCTGTCAGCACTGAGGGTCTCGGCCCATCAGCTCACGCAAGGTATCAAATCAATTTAAAAATTGTACGTGATTGTTTTAATTTTTTTTTGTTTTCATCAAAACTATACATATGGCACTCTTGATGTTCGTTGATGTTCGGCCCCGACTTTGTTTCCCGTGCACTCCTAATAACGTAAGGGTGTCTGTAGGCGGAGCGGGGCGTGGCGGGGCGGGGCGCGACGGGGCGGGGCGGGGCGGCTCGGCGCTGGAGTCGCTGGGCTCGGCGCTGTCGCTGCTGGTGTGGGCCGACGCGCTGCGGATACACATCGTCGTGGGGGACCTCACCAGGCAACACTCGCATAAGGGGAAAGGTAATCTAACCACTTTGCGCCATTTTAATATTAAAAGCCAATCTGCAAAATGGCAAAAAGGTCTGTTGTTTTTCAAATGTATATTAATTTATTAAAGACACGATCTCTGGAGCGTATATGATTTTACGAGTCTAGTGTAGTGCAGCCCTCAGCAGGACCCTCTCTTACATTTGTACTAACTCCATAGCGACCAATTCCAGTTTTCTTCTTAACCCTAGCTACAGGATAGGTTGCGAACCTAGTTCTGCCAAGAAGTAGTCGTGTTTGTAGTGGCCCGCTGAACCAGTGAAGTCGACTGTGTCCTTGCCGTTGTATCTGTACATGCTGCTGACGAAGTCCACTTTTTTAGGTAGTCAAGTCCACGCGGACTTACCGTCGGAAACACCGGCCTTCTTGTGCGAGAAGGTGTCCATCGACTTGGACCTGAAGAAGGTGGCGGACGTGTCCGTGGACGAGCTGATCCAGCGCCACAACGTGCTGTACATCTCGCGGGGACAGCTCAAGAAGCACATCAGCACCATGCTGAACTTCAACGTCAGCATCCGGTTCATATCTCAGCAGGTCGGTACGACTGCACTGTACGGAGTTTTGTACTGTTTACTAGGAAACTACGGATAAAACAAAAGCGCACGCCCCACAACGAGAACTTCCTCTTTATTGTTATTTGAAGCTGGTCAAAAATATTGACTGGCGTTCGCCCGTAACTTCTTAAAAATCTATTGTTATTATTGGAATATACATACATTTTTATTTTGTTTTGTTATTTAGATTTTAAGAAAAAAGCCAAAACTACTATAAATATTATAGCTACTATAATATTTGATAAAGTACAAAATTCAGAGAATAAAAGTGATTAACAGTTACTGTATGTTTTGCCGCCAATCATCGTAATATTTGTCCTATAAAAGTCACTTTCTAAGTTTTTTTTTATTGCTTAGATGGGTGGACGAGCTCACAGCCCACCTGGTGTTAAGTGGTTACTGGAGCCCATAGACATCTACGACGTAAATGCGCCATCCACCTTGAAATATAAATTCTAAGGTCTTAAGTATAGTTACAACGACTGCCCCACCCTTCAAACCGAAACGCATTACTGCTTCACGGCAGAAATAGGCAGGGTGGTGGTACCGACCCGCGTGGACTGACAAGAGGTCCTACCACCAATAAAAAGTAATTATAAAGAAGTGTTTTTAAACCAAAGCAACACTGGGGGCAGTAAAAATGTGAACAGTAATGACGAGTCGAACCTGCTCTACCATTCTTACCTGCCGCAGGTGAACATGCCCCTCCTGCGGTTGCTGCATCAGATCAGCAACATGTACCAGAACGTGAAGGACACGCAGGTGGAGCTGCGCACCCAGACCCGCCTCTCGCGGCGCCAGAACCAGCACGCCTCCTCCTCGGGTACGTCACACCCACTGCACAGATGCGCTGACGTCATCAACTGCACGGTCAAGGCCGATTGTAATCTTTAACATTAGTTTCAGACTACAGAGAGAACTTGGTGAGCGTTTCGTCGTTAGAAAAAGAAGTGACATTCGCGACGGTCGCACCCAAGTGGGATCTGACGACGCCGGGACTGAATTCGGAGCTGCCGACCGTGGTTTCGGAGTCGCCCAGCCAACAGAAGCTGGTGCAGCCTCCCACCAGGACTCGGCCGCAGTCTTTCGCCCAAAAGCTTCGGTCCACCGGGAAAAGTGTTAAAGGGAAATTAGGTAGGACTGAGAGAGAGAGAAAGAGGGAGAGAAAGAAGGAGAGATAGAGAGAGAGGGAGAGATATATATATATAGAGAGAGAGAGAAAGATAGAGAGAGAGGGAGAGAATACACTTTATTGCACACCAAAACACAATTTACATTCAAGAAACATAGGACTGATAGCATTACATTTAGTTTGTTCATAAGGACCCTGTCCTAAATTATGTCCCAATATATCATAATATTACGTACGACGTCTCGTTACTAACATCATCTTGCAAAAAATGTATCGAGTTTCAATGTTGAATTTAAAAAAGTAATTTAAGCATCCTTTTCATTAAAACGAACGTGCAACCATAAGGTGATATGGCTCGTATCTCAGGTGTCATTGAAGGTGGTACCTCAAGCACCGGTTACTGTCCACGTCGAACCTGTCGCTTGCGACGCAGGGCTCGGCGAGTAAATTAACCCACAGACACAGCCCACTGAGTTTCTCGCCGGATCTTCCCAGTGGGTCGCGTTTCCGATCCGGTGGTATATTATGCGAAGTACTGTTCCTCTGGTTAGAGCCCTGTGAACTAACCTACCAGTTTAGGTAGAAAAAAGATGTGTGGTATCGTGGGACACCAGATAGGAACGAAGTTCCTTATTATAAAAATATTAATTTTAAGTTCTATTCGAGTTATAAATAAAATAATATATTTGGGTACACATTTTTTATTACGATTTTTTTATTGATAAAAATAAAATAAAAATGTAATTTTTTGTACCTTATTACAAAGGTAAGTCGTACACTGTGTGCATTACTGATTTGTACGTTATTACAAATTTAAGTCGTACACCGTGTGCATTACTAATCAAAATCTTACGTTACGGACGTTTTTTCCCGGTTAGGGCACCCCTCCGCATCGTCCCATAAGGAACTTCGTTCCTGAAAGTAAAGCTCGCCAAAGTAAAGCTTCGCCTCTGAAAGTAAAGCAGCTATTGATTTTGCTTGTGTGAGCGGTAAGCGAGTCCATAGTCCGTGTGGTGTGAGTGTCCCCCCTGGCCGCAGGGTACAGCTCGCTGAACGAGGGCGCGCACACGCCGATGTTCCCGGCGGACGGGCCGGCGCCGGCGGACGGCGGCGACAAGCTGGCGCCGCGCTGCTGGCGGACCGTGTACCAGCTGCTCGACCTGTACGCCAACATGCCGGACGCGCAAACCATCACGCACAGGTGCCCCACGCCTTGCCTTTGTTTGCTTCTCTCTGATTATTTTTTTATGTCAAGCTTAGATTGACGCAAGACGGTCACAAGATTACGTAGATCCTTCCTTAATGACTTTTGACAATATATTTTGTAATAATGTATTTTGTCAACCACATTAACCATCGAGGAACCCGACCACTACATCGCACTATTTAATTTTTCTGTAATTATTCTAGGATCTCTTAATATCATAACTTTTACTATTAGTGAACAAAGATAACTATCCAATAATTTCGAATACGACTGGCAGGTTCTCAGTAACGACGGACCTGCCGGAGCAGTACAGACACAGCCGCGCGACCCGGCCCAGCTCCCGGGAGCAGAACGCCAGCAACTCGTCGTCCAGCGCTGGCAACATGGGCATTGTGGTTGTCGGAGTTGCAAGGTATACAACTCAATTATCTATTATAGGTTCTTCAAATCCTAATATTATTTAAAACCAATTTACAGACCACGTTATAAGTGATTATCCTTTTTTAATTACTTAAGGAATTGATAATAATCGTCTTGGAAACTGTACTGTTGGCTCAATACTATACAGGATGTGTTTAATTTTTATAAAGAATGTTTGTAGTAGTAGTTGATCGCTGTTTTCGGAAATTACCTCTTACACCCTGTATTGCATAAGAATATATTTATATATTTTTTATTTATCTTTTTTTTTTATTGCTTAGATAGGTGGACGAGCTCACAGCCCACCTGTTGTTAAGTGGTTACTGGAGCCCATAGACATCTACCACGTAAATGCGCCACCCACCTTGATATAAGTTCTAAGGTATCAAATATAGTTAAAACGGCTGCCTACCCTTTAAACCGAAACGCATTACTGCTTCACGGCAGAAATAGGCAGGGCGGTGGTACCTACCCGTGCGAACTCACAATATTACCAGTGTTATCCTACTACAGCTGTTAATTGACCTGGTCTAAGTTCAACCGAGCATATCCCACCAGGATCCATCGCACGCGAGTGTTGGCCTCGTTGTCCGGGTTGAAGCTGGAGGCGGAGCTGACGTCGCTGCAGAGCTCGCTGTCGGCGTCCCGCGCGCGGCAGTACGCGCTGTCCGCCACCCTCGGCCGGGCCATGATCGTGCTGCTGGAGGGCAGGCATCCCGACCACCAGTACGTGTAACTTACTGCCCTCCACTGTCTCCAGAGAGCAGAAGATTTCGTTTCGTTTACTTTTTTAAATGGATGTGATGTTATTTATGATGGTATGGTGGATGGTGTGGTGTCCTCCGTGAACCTTATCGGAGCGGTCAACAAATAAATAAGTATAATTGCATGGTTATTCACGTCAGTGATCGCGGTAGATCGCTGCACGTTAACCACATAACATATATGGCTTATTATTGAAACTGCTTAGTAAGTTAAGCGCGGCGCGGTATCATTCCCCTACATTGTTTTTTTTTATTGCCTTTGCAGGCAGATGAGCATACGGCCCATCTGATGGCAAGTGGGCACCGTCGTTCATAGACGTCAGCAATGCCAGGGGCAGAGCTAAGCCGCTGCCTACCATTAAGTATTCTCCGCAAACCTTGTTTGAAGAAGGACATGTCATAGCGCTCGGAAAACAATGTGGAGGGGAGTTCATTCCAAAGCCGGATGATACGCGGAAAAAAAGATCTTTGGAAACGCACTGTCGATGAACTCTGCTTCGATGGCGGGAGGTGCGATGATAATGAGGGGCTCGGAACGTGAAGTTAGTGAGTGAGCTTGGTCGGTGCAGGACGGTGGTGCGCGTGAGCGTGGGCAAGTCGCAGGCGCTGTACTCGTGGGAGGCGGGGCGCGCGGACGCCGCCGTGCTGCTGAGCGGCGGCGCCGTGCGCGTGGAGCTGCCGCAGCACCCCGTCGCGCTGCACGGCGTCATGACGCGCTCCAGCCGACACCTCTCCTCCACGCTGCAGGTACTGCACGCTCGCAACGTGTTGTGGACGAGCTCACAGCCCACCTGCTGTCAAGTGGTTACATCTACAACGTAAATGCGCCACCCACCTTGAGATATAAGTTCTAAGGGTCTCAGTATAGTTACAACGGCTGCCCCACCCTTCAAACCGAAACGCATTACTGCTTCACGGCAGAAATAGGCAGGGTGGTGGTACCCACCCGCGCGGACTCCCAAGAGGTCCTACCATCAGTAAAGATCACGCGCACGGCACATGCTCTGCACCAGCGGCGGCGGGGCGCGACACACGAGACTACGACCAATGAGAGCTACATCGGCCGCACGGCGTGCGACACATATTTACAAAATGTCCTAATACACATATTTTATTGTCCGATTTGTTTGATTGCTGCCATTCCACATCAGCTAAATCAGCTCTCCCAGACAATGTGTCTCAATAATGTTTGTCATATCGTCGCTGTCAAACCAAAATCTGTTATGTGCAAAAACTCTATTTTGAATTAAAGAGTAAAAACATTTTCAAAAACAAGGTGAATTTTTAAAAACTATATCAAATGAAAGCTACAGATAAATATTAAAGCTATAGACACATAACAGTTTTTTTTATACGGTAGATAGGGCTGTCAACTATACGAAAAGGTCAAAAAGTAAAAATCTCAGAAACGTGCACATAGCAGATTTTGGTTTGACAACGACGATATAATGCTATACTCTTTCGATAAAACTTTAAATTTACTGATATCTGGTTAGTGCTGACTATGCCACTCCCATGCGCCGCACCAATATAAATATAACTTTAAAATATTTTCCAAAATAAATTAAATTATAATACTATAGGAACTGGGCGTAACCCGCACCTCATCCCGCATGTCTCGCGGGGGCGGCCCGGGCGGGATGGGGGGTGTGGCGGGAGCGGAGGGGTCGTCCTCGGAGGGCAGCCCGCCACCCGTGCCGCGGCCCCCTCACTCTGCTCCCCCCACCCCGCAACCCCCGCATCCACTCTTCAACCCCCTGCATCTACAGTTCAGCATCGTCATACAGGTGATTAGCGAAACTGTAATAACTAAGATAATTTTGACTTTCAACTTATTAATTATGAAAAACACATAACTGTTATTTTTTATTGCTTAGATGAGTGCACGAACTCACGACCCATCTGGTGTTAAGTGATTACTGGAGCCCATAGACATCTAAAACCTAAATGCCGCCACACATCTTCACAATTGCTGCAGACCTTTAAAACCGAAACGCTTCACGGCAAAAATGGGCCGAGTGGTGATACCTACCACGTCGTCCTACCACGAAAAACCACCTGGTTGGCTATGCCTTCCGTTTATTACTACTAAATATTAGCCAACCCAGTAAGCAAAGCTTAAATCGTCAATACACTGTGTGGTGTCGGCCGCCAGAGCGTGAGCATAACGGCGGCGCTGCTGCCGTCGCTGCAGGCGCAGTACAAGATGGAGCAGGTGCACAGCGGCGGCGTCACGGGGCACAAGGCGCACTTCACCGTCGACCTGCCGCACCACTCGCTCAGCTTCGTCACCAAGCTGCAGGTGCGCACCACGACGCTTCATTATGAGTCTGTATGATCATTGTGATAAAATTCATGTAAATATTGATCAACATGTTGCATTCTAGTTGTGTCTGATTATGGTCCAAGAAAAAAAAACTGTAAAAGAGTTCGTAGAAAAACTATTTTAGTAAAAAATAAATTCTAGCTTCTGGACCCTGTCGGAACCTTTTTCAGAATAGCAGATGAGCTACTGCCGAGGATTCCTGTCACAACCATCAATAAATCGCAAGCGAAAAATTATTCAGTGCAAAGGTTCTGTAGGTTTCACGCAATGTATCAGTTAATATTCAACTGACGCGCCAGATACATTGACCCGCGGAAACGGACAGCTGCATTCGTTATACATTACGGACTCACAAAATTTCAACATTAGTAATTATGTAATACATGTCAAACTCGCAAAATTTTCATAATTACTGATCATGGAGCGTGCAGTAGGCTCGCATATACCTCGCATATGCTCGCGATGCAGTTATGAGTTCCGGTTTTCCAGAGAGTCGATGTTACAATACAATTGAGATTTCCATCTCATCTCTCAAAACACGCGATGTCTGTGGACTGTCAGCTCTTTCTCGTATTTCCATCCGAACAAAAATATGTTTTCCGCCAATTTAACATATTATTTGAAAATACAACTGCATATGTCCGAACATCAATCAGCGGCGACGGTGTGCATACCTGAATACAGAACATAATGCTACATGTTAAATTACAAAGAACGTATTAGAGGGTACGGACTGGACGAAACCTCATTTCCTAACTATATATATTTTACATTACAAGTTGGTTCGCGGTCCACGTGATTGTGAGGGCCTCGTGCAGTTGTCTCTTAATGATGTTGTAATACATTGCGTGCAGCAAAAAAAGAAATCAATAATTTTCCGAATGCGATTCTGTCCGTGGTCGTGGCTTCAGTGGATGGTTGGTGTGCGCGTGCGTATAGAGCGGGGGGGCGCAGGTCGCGGAGGCGAACCTGCCGGCGGCGGCCAGCGTGGCGCTGCCGGGGGTGGCGGTGCGGGGGCGGGTGGCGGAGGGCGCGGCGGGGGCGGCGGCGGGGGGCGCGGTGCTGCGGCCCGGCACCTACCTGGCCGCCACCGCCGACATCGGACTCTTCGAGCACACCCTCTCCACCGACCTGCTCAATCATCTCGTCTTCGTGCAGAAGGTCTTTATGAAGGTGCGTCCTCTTCAATTTCTTTATTTGGGCATTTTACGTTTGCGTATTTATTTTTTTGAAGTTTTATGACCTGGTCAAGAGGTTTGAAGTCAAGTCTTGTTTCTTCTTATAATAAAAGAATATATTTTGTTATGTGAAAAATTAAATGAAACGAGATGACATATTCTTAGTAAAATCTTGGTTATTTATTGAGACTTTTTCTGGGGAATTTTTGGAAGAACCCGAGAAGCAGCGTTCGACAATTTTGTTTTTTTCATTTGTGTACTTGTGTACTTGTGTTCAGATGCTGAACAGTTAATAAATCACCGTTATTACACGTTTAAACTTAGCGATGCACTAAAATAGCAAAATAGAACAATTCGCATAATTCTCTCTCTGTTATCACTTTCCCGCCAAAACCTGTTTGCGTATTATGTATGTGATGCCAAAGAAAAAATCATTAATGTGAAGAAGAATCATTAATGTGCTACTTCTAAATATGAACTTGAACAGGAAGTGAACGAGGTGGTCCAAAAAGTGTACGGCGGCGAGAAGCCGGTCCCGTTGTGGAGCGAGGAGGAGCCCAGCACGTCGGCGCTCAGCAGGATCCTGTTCTCTCTCACCATCAGGATCAAGGTAAGGAAGGCACTGGCTCCCCGGCCGCCGCCCCGGCTCCCACCCGCACTGACGTGTCGCTCGTGGCGCAGCGCGTGCAGCTGACGGCCACCACGCCCAGCAACTCCGCCGTGCGCCTGGAGACCGGCGCCGTCGAGTTCGAGATCTCCAACCGCGTGCAGAACGTGTCGCAGCCCAGCCAGCCGCACGGCGCCAAGCTGTTCGCCAGGGCGCAGGTGATACCGCCATCCTACCCGCACTCTTGTTTGGAAGGTCAGACGTTATACACTACAACATGTCTGGAGGCGTGTGATGTCCACAGCCTTCGCTAACCTCTCCACGCCAGGTGATCCGTGATCACGTCTACCCTACTCCAGTAAGGCAATATGAAACTGACTGTATTTGTAGCTCAAGTGGTATGCCTTTAACTTCTCTTATTAATAAACACAGACTAAACCAAAAAGGTTTTCTAGCTTCAGCACAAAGGGATCACCCGCTGAGTAAATTAGGACAAATTAAGAGGGGGGGGGGGCGCTTGTTAAGCCCAGCATTTGATTTTCATCCAGGTGGACGTCAATCTGAGTCTGGGGCAGTTGCTAAGGAATGCAATGTTCGAGGAAGCAGAGCCAGAGTTCCAGCAGTACGCCTTCTTCAACACGCGTATCGGTAAATTCATTACACCATACTACTATCTACAGTCTATATGCTCATTCAGTATATCAACTAGCAGCTTCGTTAGTCGCATTGCTACACTGTCATCCACTGGACTGCCTATCTTTCGGTACTGTCATTTAGTACCAATGTAATATCGACCTTATGTCTTAACGCGGTAGACAGTATTTACTTTGCAATGTTCAGGGGCTCTGTGTAAAAAGACCGTTAACAGTGAACGCGCTTTGACATTCAAAGCATAGCTTTTAAAAGAACTGAATAAATATTCATAGATGCCCGTTCACGTACATACGACCTTTCGGTATGAGGGGCACGCATTTTAATAATTTTCGCGCCAAAAACATACATTCAAATATACGTTTGGAAAAAAATGCCTCTATAGTTTTTTTTTTAAGTAAAGTCTTCTTTAGCACCGTTGTGAGTTGAAACTTGATGAAATGATTTTTCGCGGCAATCATATACATCTATAATATTTAGAATGTTAGAGAATGAGAAGGAATACTTCAGAATCTTATTCGTATACCTCGTGTGCACATTTAAAAACAAACGAAGATATTTTTAGGCATTTAGTACTCATTGCTCTGTCACATATGAACAAACTTATTGTATTACCTATTGCTATTTGCCTCGTAATTTTGTTTTAGTTTTGATTGGTTATATGACACAGAACTACACGTGATACCACTAAGCGCTAGGTCATATGGAAATATACTATAAACACTAATCCTCTCACTACTAAATCTCATTTGACTAACCGGTTCCCTCATGTCGAAGCGATGCGCAACGCGTTCCAAGAGGAGATGGTGTGCGGCGAGGACAAGGAGGTGGTGCTGATCACGTTGAAGCGGCCGCTGGTGTACGTGCAGCCGGTGGCCATCGACAAGGCCATACTGGTCTGGCTCAACTACAAAAACGCGTACGAGTACTGGAACGAGAAGCGCTTGAACCTCAACAAGGAGGTGCTTACCGCCACGCAGCAGGTCTTCGAGAAGGTGACGCCGCCCTTTCAGTTTGGATAATGGGGAGATGCGTTATATGACCGTTGTAACTATACTTGAGACCCTAGAACTTAGATGTCTGTGGGCTTCAGTAACGACTTAACACCAGGTGGGCTGTGAGTTAGTCCACCCATCTAGCAATTAAAAAAAAAATGAATATTTGCGATAACAGCATGACTGTTGTATCTTTCTAGTGGATTATTATCCGATATAAAAATAAAAACATTAAATATTAATTGTCTAGGAAAAATATGAAGGATATTTATTAATTTTTGCTAACAGCAGCACCAACCAATAGGCGCCTGCTATAAATACTGAGCTCTGTAATATCAGATTATCGAAAACTCTTAAGATTTTTTAAAATTATCTTCTCACGTAAAGGTCGCATTCTTCTGTGGCAGGTGCAACTGACGTCACAGATTTCGGCTCCGCACCTCAGCACCCTGTTCCTGCAGCTGAACGTGGACGACATCGGAATATGTCTGCCGCTCAACCAGCCTCCCATGGTGAGAGTCCGCTGTGACGTCCAGCCGCCTGAACCGTCCCACTCCTCGTCTCCATGTGGGGCCAGCGGGGACCACCGAGTCTCCATAAAAATCTCCAGAAAGCTGTCGATCGGCCCCATAATCAGACTGGGGAGGGGGCTACGGAATCATCTTTCACAACCTCCATGTACTCTCACTGCACGCCTTGTATTATAATAATTAGAGTTAAGTTTTAAAAAATGGCGACAGTGCTGGCTCTACTGACATATGATATGGAAATGGCACCAATATGTATGTGTGTGCGACAGGCGTCCTGGGGACGAGAGAGTCGCGGCGCGGTGGTGGTGACCCTGGACAGCACCAGCATCGGCGCGTGCAGTTCGGGCGCGTTGGTTAGCAAGGGTCGGTTCGTGGGGCTGTGCCTGCGGTTCGCTGACGACTTCGAGGCGTCGCTGGACGACTGGAAGCCGGCGCCCGGCGAGCCCAGCCTCAACGTGTGCTGCGTCTCCGAGGGGACCTACGAGGTCTGCAGCAGGACCGCCACGGCCGCCGCCGCACACAACGGTGACCACACAACACTGCACGCGACATTCTGCTTAATGTTTGAACGGATCCAATAGTTCGCAATTATTTTCACTTTTCTAGAGAACGCCAAGTGGTTCCTCAACGTGTCCTGGCAAATGGAAGGAGTCGACATTCACCTGGACGTGAACGTGGGCAAGCAGCTGTCCGCGCTGGGCCACACGCTCACCATGCTCACCGGCTTCGAGGAGGAGGACCCGCTGAAGATGGAGTACGAGAGCGACGTGGACGACGAGGCCGACAACAGCAAGGGTTCGCAGGTACGGGACCACAGCACCGGCACCTGTGTGTAGGTCCTGCCATGTACCACTACAATTTGTATTCATTACATTGACCATATATTTAGTGGTATCTTTGACGACGTCAGCCGATGACTCCGGCTTGGATTATGTTCTCTATACGAGACTGCGTACTATGTTGTTCACACAGCTAAAGAGGGCAATTTGGTATTTTCATATATCCAATCAATAGATAACAAATGATCGTTGCCTGCCGTGGCTCCTTGCAGGAGAGCATCATCCTACGGCGCAAGTACACGGACCACCTGCCGGCCTTCGTGTTCGACAGCAGCATCGACGCCAAGAAGCGCTCCAAGCTGATCGAGAAGGAGATGAACGAGCAGGCCAAGATCATCAACGACCTGCGCACCCTGGGCGCCAGCCACTCCACCATTGAGTACGAGATGAAGCGCCTCCACGACCTCGAGGCCCTCGTCTTCAAAGACTTTCGAAGGTGAGGCTGATGAGACTCAACTTGGTACTTATGAAATGAATCGGAATTATTAAATTAAAAACCATCACAAGTTCTGGGTCCGCAGTTTAACGAAATATCACAATTGGCTAGTATTCGCTATGACAATACAAATATTATTTACTAGCGACCCGCTCTCGCTTCGCTTCGGAAACTGTAATTTATTATTGATTTCTCCACTATTTAATGGATGTTATTATACGTATAAACCTTCCTCTTCAATCACTATCTATTAAAAAAACCGAATCAAAATTCGTTTCGTAGTTTTCAAGATTTAAGCATACATAGAGGTATAGGGACAGAGAAAGCGACTTTGTCTTATACTATGTAGTGATAACAAAACCGTAGCCAATGCAATAAATAATTAGAATCGTAACTGATGGAGTAGCCGGTACACTGTAACGTTGCTGACGGGAGTGCGTGCGCAGGGACATGATCCAGAAGCTGCGGCGGCAGAGCGTGCGCGCGTCGTCGCTGACCAAGGGCAAGCTGGGCCTGGGCTCGCACCGCAGCCGCTCCTTCGTGCTGCCCGACCCGCCGCCGCACGGGTGCGTACCCCAACCCCCCAACCCCCCAACATTTACTAAAGATCTCAAATGTATCTTTTAGATTTGCTTTATATATGGGTTTATAAGAGACAAGAGGTCCTACCACCAGTAATTACGTAAATTATAATTTTGTTGATTTGATTTTCATTACACGATGTTTTATTCCTTCACCGTAGAAGTCAAGCGTAAACATTTGTTGAGTACGTATTACATTAGAAAAATTGATGGACGTTTATTTAATTCTTTTATTAAGTTACTAGCTGTATCCGTCCGCTTCGCTGGGCATTTAAAATTAACATTATTATTTTTCATCCCCACAAAAATTCTCATCATTAACGACCCCGCAACTGGTGTAGGAAGTCCAACGCTCATATAAATATTAGCCTACCTATTAAGTACATGCATTTTCTATATGGATACAGTTTCAAGTCATTCGTATGCATGGTTCAGTAGTTATAACGGAACATCCGTAAAAACCACTGTAAATTTATATATTAGTATAAATTAGTAAGAATTAAATCAAGGACCTTTAAATATCCCCGTTGCGGTGATTTTTATACGACGTTACTCCTTCAGCGTTTAATGAAAACGTTGACAGAATGACGCACTGTAGCACCACCCTGCCTTCACACCACAATCTGCAATGCACTCAGGTTTGAAAAGTAAAGTAATCGTTATACAATTGTATTGCGATTAAAGCTCACGTCTCTGGCGGGGGCAGCAGTTATACTGTAATGCCATGCTCTTGGGTAGCTTAATGACGGATGAGTTCGCCAATCTCGACCAAATATCATTAAAATTATGAAAGAAGAATTTATTCAAATATTGGCGTTCGAATGCAGTGTTGCAGTAGAACCGAACCTGGTGCTGACGTCCGGCGCCGTGGGGGACTCCGGCGAGACCCTGCTGCTGGGGGACGACGAGCACCGCCTCGCCGACATCATGGAGGGCGGCAGCTGGAGCTCTATGGAAAGCGAGCCGGTCACCGGTAAGTCCTCCGCGAGTTGCTACTCGACAACACTACAGTGACATTACAACAGAGTCGATACGTATCTCTAAAAAATGTATATCTTATTACCCGCTAACGCAACTTGTCCAGGTCCATCTCGGTCGGCGTCGGTGCGGGGGCGCGGGGGAGGCGGCGGGGGCGGCGCGGGGTCGGGGGGCGGCGGGGTGCAGCGCCAGAGCTCGCTGCCGGCGCACCCCGACCGCTGGCCCGACGACATCGAGCACGTGCAGCTGCGGAAGAAACATGACCACTCGTAAGTACTTTTTTACTTTACTATTAATATGCAGACGCTACAGGCTCACCCGGGGCCTGCGTCTGTCAGCGCGCGGTGTCGCGGCCTGCTGATGCGTGTAATGACGAGTAGCGTTGTGGTACCGTGTGCAGCGTAGTTTTTATTAGAAAGTTACATAGGTAGTTTTCCAATGACAGCACAAGAGCGCATTATGCGGCATAATGTTCAACGTTGAATGTTCCAACTACAGCAACGCTTCGCACTATCGAGCACTTTCAAAAGTACTGCCTATCATCAGATATTTTATTAATGGCTAGATTAGATGATTTAATTAAAAACTATATAATTTTCTTAGAACTCTTTTAAAAAGATTACTCAAAACGTAAAAAAATATTAATGAAATAATCAAAATTCAAATTATTTAAAATAACCGTAAATAGTTTTCAACCAATTATTATTGTTTACCACATTATTTATACATTAATGAGGTTGCTAACTCCGTGAATATATTTTTTTTCAACACTGAACTTAGCACACTCTGCTGATGCATTTGAAAACGAATTCACGTTCAAATTAAGCTTCAGCATAATTCGGCATTGTGCGCCACTCGCATTATGCTCTGCATTATGTCCTGTACGTGTGGTATTGCGCAGCGTGCCGCCAGCGGACGGCCCGGGCGCGGAGAGCAACAAGCAGAACAAGGCCAAAACTGCGGAGCCGAACATAGACTTTGAACTCGACGTCAAAGTGCACATCAACAGCGGGAAATGCGTGCTGCACACCAAGGAACCTTTGAAGGATGACGAAATTAAAATGTAAGAACACACAACTTGCTCTCAACTCTTTACGCTGTCATACAAATAAGTACTTTATGCAAATAATTAAATCTACATATGAGTTGTCTATTATCAAAGGTGGCAATCTGTGCATTTGGACAAAAAAATGTTATTGATATGGCGATACAGATTGATTTGAATATAATCGTCTCCTTCAAAGAATACGGTTCAAAACCTGCATTAAATAAAGGTTAATACTTAACCTGTTATTTATCTAAGATGTCGTTCAGAAGAGTTTTGTGACTGCCAATGGAATACAAAGTCAATAATTCNCATATATTTCGCCTGTTTAGGCATGCGAAAATTTAACTTATTTTTATATTAATTCTAACACAAAATTTACTAAATCTATCTATTTTTACATTCTATCACTTCTTATTCTAATATTTTATTATGTACAACATTTATCATTTAAAAATTCTTGCACACTATAATAAGCCTTATCTATTAGCCATAAATATAATTTTCTTTTAAATTGAGTTAGTGGAAGATCTCTTATGCTGTTTGGTATCTTATTAAATATTCTTATAGTCATAGGATAACAGTTTGTATGGTAGTAGCGAGTATTTATATTTGGTAACATGAGTTTAGTAGGGTATCTTGTATTAAATTGACAGTACTCACCATACGATTTATATAATTGTGGGTAATGACTAGTAGCGTGTAATGACTAGTAGCGTTGTGGTACCGTGTGCAGCGTAGTTTTTATTAAAAAATTACATATTGTCCTATACATGTCGTATTGCGCAGCGTGCCGCCAGCGGACGGCCCGGGCTCGGAGAGCAACAAACAGAACAAGGCCAAAACTGCGGAGCCGAACATAGACTTTGAACTCGACGTCAAAGTGCACATCAACAGCGGGAAATGCGTGCTGCACACCAAGGAACCTTTGAAGGATGACGAAATCAAAATGTAAGAACACGCAACTTGCTCTCAACTCTTTACACTGCCATACAAATAAGTACTTTATGCAGATAATTAAATCTACATATAGTAAACTAGCGACCCGCCCTCGCTTCGCTTCGGAAACTATAATTTATTATTGATTTCTCCACTATTTAATGGATCTTATTATACATATAAACCTTCCTCTTCAATCTCTCTATCTATTAAAAAAAACCGCATCAAAATCCGTTGCGTAGTTTTAAAGATTTAAGCATACATAGGAATATAGGGACAGAGAAAGCGACTTTGTTTTATACTATGTAGTGATAAATCAACAATGGCCGTGAACAATTGTATATCTGCGCATCTTCAGTTACAGACTTTAAAAAAATATGTTTTTAATTTTTTCTTCTAAAAATATGATGTCCTAAAATTATTTCGAACAGCGGAGGGCGTATGCGTGTCGGTCGGTCAACATCTGGGGGTCTGTCAGAGACTGGTACTGCAGCTCCCAACCCTGCGAGCGCGGGGGCAGTGGGGGGTGCCGGGGGGTCGCCCACGGCTGCACGCCGCAAGCCCCCAGCGCCCCGACACCAGCCCGTACTGGACCTCACCGTCTTCAGAGTTCCTGGACTTGACCTCAAGGTAATTTGTAATTTATTAGATGATTTGTCTTAGTCTTAAGTTTTGTAAGTATTATCATTGCAATACAATAACAATTCAAATGTTAATTTACAAATTTAATAAGCTTATAATTCATACATGGGCGTACAATATACGAGTATAAGTACGATAGTTGTTCAGATTATTTGGAAGTAAAAACAAATGTATTTAATCTGAGACTCGTCCATTTCTGAATTATTATATTTCTCTTTATTTATTTCTTTTATCTTATCTTATACCTTTAAACGAGCAATTCTTGTATATTAATATAAGTATATAATCTGAATCTCGGAAACGGCTCTAACGATTTTCATAAAATTTAGTATACAGGGGATTTCGGGGGCGATAAATCGATCTAGCTACTATTTATTTTCAGAAAATGTTTTTTTCTATTGGCGAATAATAATACTATTTTTCTTCATTGAGGGCAACTAACCGCTTTAAAGACACAACAAGATGGCGTTATTAAAAAACAAACGAGCAAAGCTCGGTCATCATCTAATTATTGATTTATTATTTAAAAGGTTACAGTTATTTTATTAATTTAAATGGTTACAGTTATTTTATTAATTTAAATTTAAGCGCACGTCTATGTGTGCGAATGTTGTTGCAAATTGTTCTATTGAGCAATGACCCGATGGTCACGGCCTATCTATATAAAATATTAATAGTTGCCAAATAAATTTTTTCTAAAAAAAATTAAAGTTAAATTATATAGTAGCATATTATGTATAATAAATTCATCTTGATTATTTAATCAAACGCTAGGTACATTACGAGTCGAAAACCGTACCGGAGGAAGTTCCGTCACCCCAAACGACAACCTCAAGGAAAGTAGGAACCAAGAAAGCGTCCCTGTTCGCGTGGATCACGCTGCAGAGCATCCCCGAAGAGACGATCATCAGCCCGCACATCCTGGAGTTCTTGGAGCAGACCCTGGAGCCGATACCGAGCAAGGCGTCGTTCACCGCGCCCGCACCGGCGTGCGCGTCCGCGAGCGCGTCCGCGTCGGCGCCGGCGGAGGGCTCGTACGGGCAGTACGTGTACGCGTCGTTCCCGGTGGACGTGATCGTGCACTTCTCGCTGCAGCCGTCCAGCGTGCGCTTCAGCTGCCTGCCCGCCTCGCGCGTGGAGTGCCTGCTGCGCCTGCCCTCGCTGCACATCGTCTTCAGCTCCAAGCGGGCCACCGACAGGTGACGCTACTAGCTTTTGTAACGGTTCACACCGACTAGAATTAAAACCTTTCAAATATAGGATGTATGTTTGTCTCGTTTCAGTGTCGCTTTTTGAATATCATTTTCGTTTCACTGAGTTTATAACAACAAGCGCGTTAAAGAACTTTGTGATTTAAAAATATAAATCATTTTTTTTATTACTTTGATGGGTGGACCAGCTCACAGTCCACCTGCTGTTAAGTGATTACCAGAGCCCATAGACATCTACAATGTAAATGCGCCACCCACCTTGAGGTACAAGTTCTAAGGTCTCAGTATAGTTACAACGGCTGCCCCACCCTTTAAACCGAAATGCATTACTGCTTCACGACAGAAATAAGCAGGGTGGTGGTACCTACCCGTGCGGACTCACAGGAGGTCTTACCACCAGTAAAAATTAAGTTTGTGAAGGTATTTCAAAAAGATTATCAACAAAGACTTCCATGCATTATATATACAAATTAATTAAATTAATTAAGTACTTACAACTCATTAAAATAAATACAGGGAAATGGCCGAACCGGCCGTAGCCATGGGCGGCCTCAGCGTGACCGGTTGCCTGGCAGACTTCTCTGTGAACCTGTTCCATCCGTACGGCGGGAAGAAGTCCAGCCTCAAAGAAGCCCAGTGGTCTCCGCTCTCCGACGCTGAAAGAAAAGATTCTCTCAGCATCAATGTGGAGTTTGTCAAGTTCCACCTGTCCAGGTCTAGGAAATTGGATTTCCAAGCTGACCAAGACCAATCGAAGGCCACAGTCAGATTTTCGAGTAAGCCTAATGTTATATTTAGATCTTCAATTATAAAAAAATACTATTTTAGGGAAACGATACCCCGCCCTGCTTAGCTTACTAGGCAGGTTTGGTAATAATCTACTTAGGCATGTTGGTCAGTGGTTAATGTGCAGACTTACTTACCGCTCTGATGAGGTTCCCGGAGGATAATACACAACCACTCATGAAATAACCTCATCATAAAACTATCGAATTTATAATTTTGATTTTAAACGAAACTTGCGACGTTTTTTAATGCAAAATAAAAAATTGCTTAAAAAAAAAATTAAAATATACTCTTTTATAGAAAATCCAACTAAAAAAAGAAAATAATTTGAATAAATTTGAATTAAAAATAGTGTAAGAAAAAATGATTTCATTGTAAAAAAAAAGCGTGAGTTGCTTTTCAGGATATTATCAAAATAACCCTTCTACTCATATCTGTTCATAAAATATTTATAACTATTGATACCGTGCACCCCACGCTTTTTTTTTTCCAGATAATCCACAGTTTGAAGGGGGTCAAAATCATGTTCAAAAATTCCGTTACATACTAACATACGTCTGAAGCTAATAAAAGCGTATTAATTAGGCCATTTTGAAATTTTTAAACAAAAAAACGCAATAAGTTGGTGACTTGTCCCCGCAGCCATAGTGGACGTGGGCTCGGCGTCGTTCAAGTACGACATGCGGCGCCTGGGGGAGATCCTGTCCTTCCCGCGCGCCTGGTACCGCCGCACCATCGTGCGCAGGATGTTCCTCGGGGACCTGGGCCTCGCCGGGGACCAGCCCGGGTACGTTCCGCCGCCCCCACATTACCCATGACCTGCTCTGTGACTCGGCCGTGAGAGTACCGTACGCTTCGCAGCTCGTCAACCCACACGGCCCCCACATCGCCGGTGCTGCCCCAGCGCGAGAAGCTGAAGCCGTTCGAGCAGCAGCGGTCCAAGGACAGCAAGCCGCCTCCGCAGTCCGGCGCCGCCTGGGAGACGCTCGTCCTCTTTGCCGTCAATTTCACCAAGCTCAACGTTCATATGAACATGGGAAACGTCATGGGCAATGTCAGGTTAGTTTGACAATGTCCATGAGAACTTGTCTGCGTGCAACAAATGCGGTCCTGCTTACTTTGTATTACTACTATTCTATCTCTACCTTTTACTACCCTAGTACTGGTATGTGAACATTTGATATGCGCACAACGACCCGTGCTCGCCGCAGTCGCTCTGACCGCCTTTTCTTCACAACTTTTTTATTTATATTTTATTTTATATTTTATTACTTTATTATATGCTTCTTTTCCAAACTTATTCCATTTCCTATAAAAGATAAAATTAAATCTTTATCAAGAAAATTTCATATAATTTATATTTTGGTAAATATTTGGTAACCAGTTATTAAATAAAATGGTTAAAGTAATGTTTCCAAATATATTTTTAAAATATTAAATGTAATCTGAACGGTGTTATAAGTGCATTCGAAAAATAGCGTCATGTTGCGGCGGGCAACGGGCTTAGATTAGCGACCTCCGCGTACTAGACGTCACTGCTGTGATTTGTGAATTCGGGACCTCACGGGGTGGCACTCGCGACGAGGGCCACGCTGTCGGGGCGGGTCGGCTCACGTTGCGGTTGCGACAGTTGGCAGAGCCGCGGCTTCCACTGCTCCGGGCGGCTGAGCATCGGCAGCGTGGGGCGCCGCAACATGCTGCTGGGCGTGGCGCTGCTGGCGTCCGAGCTGGACGCGCGCGGCGGCATCGTGGGCGGCGCCATCTCCCTCTCCTCCATCGACACCTACGGTCTGTCTTGTGGGCCGTACACGTACATCGACGTCTCTACAAACTATATCAACTAAACTGTTGCCACTTCTGTCATCTCTTAGAAAATTACAGACGTAATAATGATGGGAATAAATTGCAGATGTGGATCACCTTAGGTCGAAATTGTTTATTGTTTTATCGATAGGATCTTATTTCTTGTAGGATCATCTCACTATCTGCCGTTGCAGATCCTGCGTTTCTTACGTCGAAGTAAATCGTTGTATTAGTGATTTATACAAATGCAGTGCACATCGAGGAGGAGCCGGGGCGCAACCCTGGTCACGTGTGCGGCGTGAGGGTCGCCGCACTGGAACTGCGCCTCGAGTACATGGGGGCCGGCGCGCTGCTCACCCGCGTGTCGCGCCTGCACGCCTCCGCGCGGGACCGCTGGCACCCGCACGCGCACAGGTACGTCCGCGCCCGCCGCCCGCGCCCCCTGCACGCCTCCGCGCGGGACCGCTGGCACCCGCACGCGCACAGGTACGTCCGCGCCCGCCCCCCGCGCCCCCTGCACGCCTCCGCGCGGGACCGCTGGCACCCGCACGCGCACAGGTACGTCCGCGCCCGCCCCCCGCGCCCCCTGCACGCCTCCGCGCGGGACCGCTGGCACCCGCACGCGCACAGGTACGTCCGCGCCCGCACCCCGCAATAATGTTTTTTTCATCCGTATTCATTATTCTTTACTTTGATCATTGCATGGACAGTTGATAGCGACAGTGCGCGCCCGGTAGCCTCTTTTGCCAAAATTGATGAATCAGTCACAACTCAAAGCCACATCTCTACCTAGGCCGGCCATCATCCTCATCCACGGCACACTGAGTTGGCACCAGCTGCAGATCCTGATGAGCAGGAGCACCACGCCAGACCTGCTGAAGATGCAGCTGAAACTGGAAGAGTTTTTCACCCAGCAGTTCAAGTCCAGCAAGCGCGTGTTTAGTTCCCTACACCCTAACTACAGGAGGGACCGCAGGGGACGTGAGTGCATTCGCCAGTTAATCTTTATTAACGTTTTAACGGTTAATGAATTTTTAACTGTTTGTTCATGTTAGACTTTAATTAAACTATCTATTGTATCTATATATTAATACGTTAAGGAAAAACTTTGTATCCCTTTTTACGAAAATTGCGCGAACCGAGGAGTATGAAATTTCCCACACTTATAGAGAATATAGAGAAGGAGTGCAGAATGTTAATATTTTTTTTAAATCATGCCTAAAAATACATTAAATCAATAAAAAAAAACATTACACATACTACCATGTATAACGCAATACACATGCATACTATTTATGTATTGCCAAACTTTTGTTCTTGACTTGATAGATTAAATAGGTATTGTTTGTCTTTATTAATATTTTTTGGAACGAAGTTCCTTACGGCGGGCTTGGAGGAAATAGGGATTTTGTTGCGCGACCGAACTGAAAAAAATGTGATAGTAAAAACCGTAAGAAAAAGTCCGTGGAATAAGATCTTGTTTTCCGCACAGCGGTATTTCACTGCGCGATTTGTTTTTCTAATTCTTTTTTTTTTTTATGGAACTTCGTTCCTATCCGGTGTCCCACGACACCACACATCTTTTTTCTATAATGTAGTCTTGACGAAATTTGTGATTAAAGAAGTATAGTAGTCTTTGAAAATAGAATCATGATAGTGTACAAACTTATAGTTTCAATTAATTATAGTCGAATTTCGACTACCGGGGGACCACTAGTAATAAAAAATGAGTGGTAAAACCTGAAGCTGTTTTGATGTTGCGTGACAGAGCAACAGGCAAGCGCGTCGGCGGAGGGCCCGCCCCCGCAGCANATGCAGTGCACATCGAGGAGGAGCCGGGGCGCAACCCTGGTCACGTGTGCGGCGTGAGGGTCGCCGCGCTCGAACTGCGCCTCGAGTACATGGGGGCCGGCGCGCTGCTCACCCGCGTGTCGCGCCTGCACGCCTCCGCGCGGGACCGCTGGCACCCGCACGCGCACAGGTACGTCCGCGCCCGCACCCCGCGCCCCCTGCACGCCTCCGCGCGGGACCGCTGGCACCCGCACGCGCACAGGTACGTCCGCGCCCCCTGCACGCCTCCGCGCGGGACCGCTGGCACCCGCACGCGCACAGGTACGTCCGCGCCCCCTGCACGCCTCCGCGCGGGACCGCTGGCACCCGCACGCGCACAGGTACGTCCGCGCCCCCTGCACGCCTCCGCGCGGGACCGCTGGCACCCGCACGCGCACAGGTACGTCCGCGCCCGCACTCCGCGCCCCCCGCACGCGCACAGGTACGTCCGCGCCCGCCCCTCACGCCCCCCGCACGCAACCCCTGCACGCGGGGCTGTACTTAGGTCAACGTAAAAGAGGGGACCAAGTGGATGGTGCAAGTTAAATTGATTCGATAATGTTTTTTCTTCCATATTCATTATTCAGAAATCAATAATTTAATTAGCTTATTTACACAGCTTATTGATTGTGAACAAGGAGGGTATGGGAAAAAAATGTTCTTGTCGAATGAGAAAAAGCTTTTGAAATTGTATTCACTATTCCTTGATTAATCAGGGCTTTGATCATTGCACGAACAGCTGACAGCGACAGTGCACGCTCACGACAGACTCGCAGCCGGTAGTCTCGTTTGCCAGAATTGATGAATCAGTCACAACTCAAAGCCACATCTCTCCCTAGGCCGGCCATCATCCTCATCCACGGCACACTGAGTTGGCACCAGCTGCAGATCCTGATGAGCAGGAGCACCACACCAGACCTACTGAAGATGCAACTGAAACTGGAAGAGTTTTTCACCCAGCAGTTCAAGTCCAGCAAGCGCGTGTTTAGTTCCCTACACCCGAACTACAGGAGGGACCGCAGGGGACGTGAGTGCATTCGCCAGTTAATCTTTATTAACGTTTTAACGGCTAATTAATTTTTTACTGTTTGTTCATGTGAGACTTTGATTAAACTACCTATATATTAATACGTGAAGGAAAAACTTTGTATCCCTTTTTACGAAAATTGCGCGGCCGGAGGAGTATGAAATTTCCCACACTTACAGAGAATATAGAGAAGTGCAGAATGTTAATATTTTTTTAAATCATGCCTAAAAAATACATTAAATCAATAAAAAAACATTACACACACTACCATGTATTTGACGCAATACGCATGCATACTATTTATGTATTGCCAAACTTTTGTTTTTGACTTGATAGATTAAATAGGTATTGTTTGTCTTTATTAATATTTTTTGGAACGAAGTTTCTTACGGCGGGCTTGGAGGAGATAGGGATTTTGTTGCGCGACCGAACTGAAAAAAATGTGATAGTAAAAACTTAAAAACCGTAAGAAAAAGTCCGTGGAATAAGGCCTTGTTTTCCGCATAGCGATATTTCACCGCGCGATTTTTTCCTCGTATTTCTTTTTTTTTTATGGAACTTCGTTCCTATCCGGTGTCCCACGACACCACACATCTTTTTTCTATAGTGTAGTCTTGATGAAATTTGTGATTAAAGAAGTATAATAATAGTCTTTGAAAATAGAATCATAATAGTGTACAAACTTATAATTTCAATTAATTCTAGTCGAATTTCGACTACCGGGGGACCACTAGTAATAAAAAATGAGTGGTAAAACCTGAAGCTGTTTTGATGTTGCGTGACAGAGCAACAGGCGAGCGCGTCGGCGGAGGGCCCGCCCCCGCAGCAGGAGCTGCGCCACCACCGGCACTGGCAGCGCGTGCTGCAGCTCGTGTCCGGCATGCAGCTCTCCACCATGCCCAGCCCGCTGCCGGACCACGGTAACACCACTAACGTTCGCGATTCACTTCCACGGTGAAGGAATAACATCGCGTAATCAAAATCAAACCCGCAAATCCTAATTTGCGTAATCACTGTTGGTAGGACCTCTTGTGAGTTCGCACGGGTAGGTACCACCGCCCCGCCTATTTCCGCCGTGAAGCAGTAATGCGTTTCGGTTCGAAGGGCGGGGTAGCCGTTGTAACTATACTAAGACCTCAGAACTTATATCTCAAGGTGGGTGGCGCATTTACTTTGTAGATGTGTATGGACTTCAGTAACCACTTAACAACAGGTGGGCTGTGAGCTCGTCCACACATCTAAACAATAAAAAATAAAATAAACGTTGCTGATGCAACCGAAAAGTTGACTATTCACTTTGAAATATTATATCACTGCTTTTTTTTTCGCATTACGTATATTATTGGTCAATTTTAAATCTTAACACAATCTCCGTGAAATTCCTTGGAACATAACCCCCCCCCCCAACCTCCGCGGGTTCAGGAGGACCGGACCAGTGTGCTTAGTGCGAGTTTTTTAACGTTCTCGACAGCATAAAAGTTTAGTCAAAAGTTGTATGGATGTTGATGGAATGGGATCGTTTGCCTACGTTTGCCGCTAGGGGCGCTGTTCCAACTGCATACAAAATTGGGCTATCTTTTTACGTTATCGAGAACGTTAAAAAACGCATGCTGATATTTGTGACGTTTCCGACACTGCAGTCCCGAGACAACTGACGACCGCGTGTATAAGTAATTGCAAAGTGTCTGCGTTCCAGGAGTGGTCCTGGGCGGCACGATGGAGCTGCAGGGCACGAACATATCGCTGGCGTGCTTCCACGGGAACAGCTTCAAGGCCAAGTCGTGGGCGCTGTTCAGTCTGAAGGAGCCCTGCATCAGCTTCGCGACCGAGGCCCAGCACGCGGACGGCGACGAACGTACGAGCTGTTCACTAACATCTTGTTATTGCGACTCTAATACTCAACAAATTAAACAACGCATAGCTAAACATGTGACGCAACTCGCATAGAGATATTATTCTTTTTTCTCTTTAATATTTATTTAATGTACATGTTATAATGACGTCAGTCTTTTAGAGCGTGATCCCAAATCGTAGTGTTCAATAAACTAACATCTTTTTTAGTTTTTTTTTTATGTCATAATTATTTTATTATAATATTGGCGGTAGGCAGCGGCTTGGCTCTGTCATTGCTGAAGTCCATGGGCGACGGTAACCATTCACCATAAGGTGGGCCGTATGCTCGTTTGCCTAAAAGGGCAATAAGAAAAATTGTTAATATAATTAATGCTTTAGCACTGCTAGTAACGCGGGTTGTAAGTCGACACTGATGCTACCGTTCTGCCTGTTTCTGCCGCTAAGTAGTGATGTATCCCAGTTAGAAGCGGGAAACAGCCGTCATGCTATATTATTGAGACACGACCTCATGTCTCAAATGGACTTCGATCTTTTTTTTCTTAAAAATCTTTGGAGTGTTCGTTGTGCTGGGAGGATTCGGTCCTCAGTAGAGGCCTTGTGGCCGGTGGTATAGTGGTGTTGTGTCGCCACACGCAGCGGCGGGCGGCGCGGTGCAGGTGGTGCAGAGCCTGACGGCGAGCCTGGGCGCGTGCCGGCGCGCGGCGTCGCTGGCCACGGTGTGCCGCATCACGCGCACCGTGCTGTTCCCGCCGCAGTTCAAGACGCTGCGGGAGTGGTTCCACTACGCCTTCGCCAACAGCGAGATCGACGGTAGGTCTCCCAGCGAGCACTGCACTACTGCACAACTGTGTGCCTTACACCTATGAGGAGCGAGGAGTGAACTTGTGTGATTTGTATTATTTTGTCTATTTAGTATTTCTTCAAGTTTAAATGTGTAATAACGGTGGTTTATTAATTATTTGATATCTGTGAAAGTACACAAATGTGGGGAAATTAAACAAAGCCGCTGGACGTAACTTATCCTCCAAAAAGTTCAGTGAAAAAATCTCAGTAAATGACCACAATTTTACTGAGATTATATTTCGTCCCATATCATCTCAACTCATTTCATTTAATTTCATCCAAGTTGATTAATGTCTCAAATTTAATTATCTTCATTTCATTTCACTCCATATTTGATAATATTTCATTTCACTCCATATTTGATTTTTTAATAAAAATAAGAATACAAATTAAAATAAGACGTGACTTAAAGGTCTTAGTTACCAGGTCATAATATCCCTTAAAAAAAGGATTGTGTGTTTTTATGAAACCACGGTTTTCACATTATAGACATTTAACTCCAACAAACAATATTTACATTAAACACTGACAAAAACAAACAAAATAGCGTGGAGCACTGGCACAAATGAGTAATAGTCTATACACTACACGGTCAGCTGCTGCGAACTATAGGCGCCGCCATATTGGCCTTGGCTGCTCTGACGAGCGCCTTTCACTTTATCCCTACTCCGCCGACCGTCACGCGACATGCAACACACACAAAAAAGTTTGAGACCATGTAATAAAAGTTTAATTTTAAAATGACAGCTATAGAGTTGTTCCCGTCGCTGGAGAAGGAGGCGGGCGCCGGCAACACCAACAGCACGGAGCGCGAGCGGGAGCGGGAGCGGGAGAGGGAGCGGGAGCGCAGCAAGGCGGGCGACAAGCACGTGCGGGAGGTCATCTTCGCGCTGCCGGCGCTGCAGCTGCACCTGCGCACGCAGCACCACCAGCCCGCCGCGCCGCCCACGCACAACGGTACCCGCGACCTCGGCACTTGTGAAACTTGAGTTCACCCAGGGCCGCGCCGACCCCCGGCTAGCCTTGGAGCGCCTCCCTATTTTTACGAATCGTCATGTGTCAATGTATTTTTTTAATTATGTGAATATTGACTTATTGTTTTGACATAAATCTTGGGACGCTTGGAGTATAAATGCATTATAATTGTTTTGTTATAAACAAGTTATATGTTGCGCCTATTATACCTACTTACTTATCGATACTCCACTACAAAGAATTTGTTGTTGTGTAAGTGTAACGTAAATAATTTCGGTGGCGGCGCCCTTATTGTCTTGGCGCCTGTGTGCACCGCACACTTCGCACATAGGGGCGGCGCAGCCCTGTGTTCACCATTGAACAGTGATCAGACTGGGCCGAATCCACACCGGAACAGCATAGTGTGTACTCCCATAGACTGCACTAGCTTACTGCGGACAGCGTGCAGCCCACGGACGACTACCGCCAGACACTCGTCCAGTAGATCGAAGTGCGACAAGAATTTCCGCAGAGCAATCCTCTAAGTCGTAACTAAACACTGGTTAACGTTTCACGTAGACGAGAAGCCGGTAGTGGAGTGCAGTTTCATCACGGAGTTCGAAGACCACATCTTCGTGTCGGTGGACGCCGAAGCGTTCCTGTTCCTCCACGACCTCATCTCCTCCTACCTTAAAGAGAAGGAGCGCGTGGTACGTCGTTTCTTTAATTCATTATATTATTTTAATACATATTGCATTTTTTTCTGAACTCAAAACAATTCAAATAAAAAAATCAGTTCAACGTTAGTAAATGTCGCTTTGACCAAACTTTTGCGCCCACATATGACATCATAAATGAGATTAAATCTCTCTAAACTATGACCCCGAAATGGGTCTTGGCCTCCGACAATAAACTTTGCCATTAATTCCGGCGCTGCGCAACGCCTTGCCGGTCCGACACTTGGAGCTTACGTAGATCCCTTCCACAGCGTCAGATCAGAGGTACTTGACCTTCCCACGGGGCGGCGTCCCTCCGGTACACCCGTTTCACAGGCCGATCCTGCTCCATACGCACTACATACTCGAGCCATCCGAGCCTCTGCGCTTTCATCTCCCCCAGAACATTTTGCTCACCAAAAAGTCTTTCTACATCCTTGTTTCTCGGACGTGCCAAGAACCAACACCTTTCTGAACTGGTCCCTGTATCTTTCTCGGTACCTTCCGCTCAGTCACGAGAAGTTTTATCTCTTCTTTCTGCGTAAGCGTCCATGCTTCGCATCCATACAATAAGATCGGTCTGACTTTAGTCTTTTATATCGAAATCTTGGTGCGCCTGCTTAGTAACTTCGAAGAGAGAGCCGGATGTAGGGCTGCACTGCATTGTAAGGTATTTTGTACACGTATTTCGATCATCTTCCCTGTAATTGGTGTCTGTTACACTGCAGCCAAGGTACCGAAATTTGGCCACTCCTTTGTATCTCTTACTTCCCACCAACTAGGTCTTCTCATTTCTGTCGCTCGGTAGTACAGCCTAGCTAGCTGGCTCGCTGATCAAAGTAGTGTGTTGTCCTCCTGCATTTTGGGGGCTATGCTTAAGGCTGACAACCCCTTCATATAAAAAACCTTTTGTTACGAAACCGACAACTACTAACATTAGCTGTGATTAATTAATTCCACATCTGTTGGAATACGTAGGCCCAGATGCCAGGCAACAGGTCGTGGGGCGAGCCCGGCGCCTCCACCAGCTCGCCCCGCCCGGATCGGCTCACCCAGGACTACCGGGACTACCGCTGCGTCACCTGGCATTTAGAGCCCACCGTCAGGTACCCTACACTTTTCTTACGTAAACTTAACCAACTAATTGACATTAAGTAAACTTAATAACGAAAAACTCTTACAGTGTATGTTAAGTCTTATATACCAATATTGTATTTCTACTACTCATGCTCACTACTCAAACAGTATTTTTGATTGACGTTACTCATATTTACTGGTGGTAGGGCATGTTGTGAGTCCGCACGGATAGGTACCACCACCCTGCCTATATCTGCCGTGAAGCATTAATGCGTTTCGGTTTGAATGGTGGGGCAGCCGTTGTATTGTAGGTTGAGACTGGGAACTCATGTCACAAGGTGGGCGGTGGCATTTACGTTGTTGACACCAAGGCCATAAGCGCATTCACCCACCGGAGCAATAAAAAATTGAAGCTTCTGAATGATCGAAATCCCTTCAACAGATTACTATCGTGGGCCGGTAAGTCTATAGAGCCGTACGGCGTGGACTACATCCTGCAGAAGCTCGGGTTCAGCCACGCGCGGACCACCATACCCAAGTGGCTGCAGCGGGGCACCCTGGACCCCCTCGACAAGATACTGTCGCTCGTGCTGCTGCGGCTCGTCGCCATCATGCCGCACAAGACATGAGCTCGTTTCGTTTAACGCCATCTAACGGGCTATGTAGGAGTTAAATGTTAAGTCGACAGTAGCGACATCTGTTAGACGTTCCCTGTAAATGCCCAATCCAAAAGTACAGTTTTAGCGAACAAAACAACTTTATTACATTGAACATTAGTTTGTTCAGAATGACTTGATCTCAGTTCGACAAGTGCAAGTTGCTTCGTTCGGTTGTAACGCGTCTCGTCTGTCAGCACGGGTTGCGTCACTATGTAGCGGAGGGAGCGAGATAAAGACATATGTTACCTCGCTCCGACTGTCCACTTTGTTTCAACATTCCCGAAAATTAAATAAATACGATATTATAGTATAACACGAATGATTTAATTAAGAATTATTATTATTATTATATGTAATGTTATTATTTGTATGAAACAGGCCTCAATTGGAGAGTGAATTAAAATTAAAATTCAGGGTGTAGAACAACCGTTCTCCGCCGAAACGATAGGTTTTGTGCCCACCACTCACGTGCTCGGAAAACTATTCGTGTTCTAAGACGATTTCAATCGTGCTTTATGTGATTTCATGAACCGACAAACCGGTCGGTCGACGCGCCGTCGTGTCTAGCGTTACATTGCGGGCCGTCAATGTACTCTAACACGTAATATTAAGGCTCATTTTATTGGTTATTGGTTTTAATGTATTTGATAAAATAAAAATACATCTGTTGTTTTGGGGATATTGGGGACGTCTTAGGTACAAATAACAACGAAAAAGGGGTCAATTGGGATGAGAATACGTGAAATGGAAACGACCTAAGTATAAATAGGTACAGGTTTGTAGGGTTGTCTATGTAGTTATAACAATATTTTTTAAATTTGTTGGTAAAAATTTGGTTTATTCATGATGTTTTTGTCTAGAACTTTTATTTAAAATTATCAATGTGTTATTTTATTGTTTGGTAAATATTTATATTATCAGTTACGTATTGTTTTCTATTTTTAGATAAGCCCACTCGTTCGAATTTAGGTCCTTACTCTCCCATATACAGAATCCTTTGGGACAACAATAATGTCCACGGTAGCGTGGTCTCCGTCAATGTTCATTCGGAGTTGTCCGATTGCGCTGAACTAATTTTAAGTGATGAAATAGATGCTTTTTTTAATTGTCTCACAACTTACAGGACAAATCTGTCGCGGATCATTTCCCAAGTAAATATAAATTAACCATAAGTAAATAAATGTAATCAAGTTTTAGTTATATATATATCACTTTGTTGGTGCAACTAAATAAATAAATAAATTAAAACCAAGTAGTGCCAACCCCAGCAAATTTCTCATTTCGTCCCAATTAACCGCAATTTCCGGGTAAATAGGGATTACACCTATTTTTGGTTTTTTTACTTAAACGGGAATGCTAGTTGCATAGTTTTAAATTGGATAACAAATATGCCCCCAAGACTCAAACAACTACCTTAAAATTGGTCATAAAATTGGAATGTGTCCCTAATCGCCCCATTTTACCGGTATACAATAAAAAACGCGAAATCAAATCGTAAAAGTAGTTTTTAATTGTGTCTTCAAGTCGCGGAACCGAAGTGAACGTTCGCATCGGCTGCGGTTTCGTTACACCCTGTATTCTTCTGGCAGCTTAATATTAGTACAAAACATCAACGAAATTGTGTTTTGAACACGAAATATAAATGTAATGTATAAGTTGGTAATTTAATATATTTCATTTTTATTATCAATACTTCCTCACACATGACAATGGACGCTTAATAAGGGCAGGCCAAGTGTGACCGCCCAAGGATGCGTCCATGCATATGCTCCAAGACATTTACCTCCCTTTTCTAATAGCTGGGCACAGTGAAATACAAGACTGTCTCATTAGTTTAATCGTTATAATATTGGCGGTAGGCAGCGGCTTGGCTCTGCCCCTGGCATTGCTGAAGTCCATGGGCGACGGTAACCACCTACCATCAGGTGGGTCGTATGCTAGTCTGCGTACAAGGGGAATAAAAAAAAAATCTTAAATTGTCTGTTAGAAAATACAAACACTTCTATGTGTGCGCAATACAATAAATTATTTCAGTTGACTACCCGCAATTATATTTAATATTAAAGTATTAACTTCAAATAAATTCTTTGATTATTCTCCCAGAAATGTATTAGACATTCTTTAGGTAAATTTTTCTGATAAACACCTAAATAAATACTCTGTTATATGACAGGTTTCGTTATGTATTGTTTTGTGTTAAAGTAAGAATATAAAAAAAATATGAAAATTTATTATTGTGAAATTATATTGAAATTATTCATATTATTGTGTTACAATAAATTTGTTAGCTGGGTTAAGAACGTGGTGTAATAAAGGGATGTATCTAGGTTTATTTTTTGTGTTGGACCAAAAATGTATAAAAAGTAATAATATTATAGTGCAATTGATGTTCTGTAATGTCGGGTGAACTAAGTAACTAATTAGTCGTGGCTTATAGAGCAACCAAAAGCTGATGTTAGATTAATATTTCATTAGGTAGGTTCTACTACATATGCTATTCTATACCAATCAAATATACGGCTTTTTTTTCACTTTACTTCCTTTCGAAAAAACACGTTGAATCGTAGCGCTGTCACCAAACCAACAAAGACATTTAAAATTACTAATCTCAGTGTTACGATGCCTCTTCGACACAGATGATGTTAGAAACAGCAAACATTAAACTCAATTAATTATCATTACAATACCAAATACCACTATAGGAGTGTCGTTTAAGATTATTGCAGATGTCTATCTAATAAAACAAGAAAGTATTTTTAAAAGAGAAATATACTTATTTCTGCCTAACACTGTAAACTCAATACAATTATTGAGTTCGTAATGTACTCGTAAAGTTTAGCCGTGTACCGATTAAGTAATCTTAAATACTTAAAAAAAATGGCGCTCTATACATACTGATTTTAATTATGCATTTCCCGAAATAATGTTTCCCATTAATATTTCTTAAAACATTTGTATTCAATTAATAGTTTAATAAGTATTCATAAATATTATAATACTCTAAAAGAATTATGACAATCGCTTAAAAAACATTATACCTGTATTACCAAAAAGAAAAAAAACGAAAATATATCGAAGTTGCCACACTTGCCCGTGTCCGTGTCAAAATAAAATCGATTATTTAATTTTAAGTTGCTACAATATTGAACTGATTTTGTATGATTAAATTGATATATTTCAATTCGGCTTTATTATCGAGCTGTGGTTTGTACATAATGTATGTGATATGTAATAAATTATTATTAGAAATTATGTTTTATATTTTTCGTGATACTGTCACTAGTTTGCAAGCGCCGTTAGTGATGGATTCATAATGTTTTTATCAATCAATTAGGAAGAGTTTCTCACTACGACACAAAGATCATTGCCCGAGCCATTCTGACAGCCACGCAGACAGAAATAGACAAACAATAATTTTTACACGATTGAAGATTAAACAAGTTGATAAAAAAAACAATCCAGTAGCAAAATAACATTTAATTTAAAATAAAATATGTATTTCAAACTTAAAATGATATGCGATTACACTACGTTTATAGAACATACATGCGCAATATACAATATCATGGTAATTCCAAACATAACACAAAAAGAGATAAAAGAAAAACGAGCTTTTAAAAGGGTATTTGAATTTAAAAACAAATAGTCTAGTAAGGACCCGGTGTAACTTGCACATACAGTGATAAATTCGGACGTCGCAGCCTGTCTAATAACTTGCGGAGTCGTCTAAATGGCGAATCACTTGATTTTGATGGGTGAAAGACAACCCATAAAATCTTTAAGTTAAGAATTGAGTTATAGACCAAAAAGTTTGTTGAGAGACAGAAAAATGCCTTATTGCTGATTGAGTTTCTAATAATTTTGCAACAGACAAATGCCGTATTTACCAAACAAAAAGGACAATGCAAATTAACACCGCACAGTTTCAGAATATGGCGAATTATAAAAAAAAGAGTAATAAAATAAATTAAACAAAAAATTACAATTTTAGTATTTACCTACTTAACGTATATAGAATATAACAGAATCCTATTTATTTTACAGTTTTATTACACATTTATAATAACAAAATGTTTAAAATACATTTTTAAATCATATTACATAAAAATAGTTTATAAGTGCATTAGGTAATAAATGCAATCATAAAGCTGCAATGTATTACTGGCCTTTAAATGTGCACTTAATGTTAAAAAAATAACGCGCTGCCAAAATTGTTGTCAGCAACAGCGATATGAGAATGAATTTTTAAAATATAATGCGATTCGTTATACAAAAGACAAGATTGCAAACGATTAAAAAGCGAATTATTGAACTTGTCGATTTTCAAGAATGAACAAAATTATGACATATATTTATGAATGAGCTGTAGAGGGTATTTACATATTCACTTATACATACAAATTTCAGAACAGATCGATAGAAACACGTAGTATAAGAAAATGAATGTTTTCCTCGGCCAATTCTTTCAATTCTTTTAATTCAATTTAGATACTGTTTAATTTGCTCGTAACATTCAAAAGAAACAATAAAACAATTTTTAGAGAATGATTGATTGTGTTTTTGAACAGAGTTACACATTGGTCGAGAGAAATATTTATTTACTAATGCTATTCAACCTTATAACAAAATAAATCAGCAAATTGTTGTATATTTACAAAACATTACAGCATAAGCCAATATATATCATTTTGTGTTTACAAACTTCAGGTGTTCATATTAAAACTAAAAGTCTTACTTAGCGTCTTCAAACATTTAACACCATCGAGACCACAGACATTTGTGCTCTACAAGCTATCTTTGTACCGTAAAAAGCTAAACCATAAACAATATGCTTAAAGTTAATTAATCGAGAAATTCTGTGTGAAATCATATTCGATGGTGGGTATAACTGTTTGTACGAATTTCAGGAATACTATGAGGTAGGAGTGGACGCCCATCTCGCCGCCGCTCTCCGTTACCGTCTCTATTATCTTCTTCATGACGTCCGCGTGCCTGGTACGGAAACAATTCATTAATGATCGGCCCTCGCAGAAAGATAATCCAATAAATATTATAAACTAATTTTTATTAATAATTATTGTAACTATACTGAGAACTTATATCTCAAAGGTGAGTGGCGCATTTACGTTGTAGATGTCTATGGGCTCCAGTAACCACTTAACGCCACGTGGGCTGTGAGCTCATCCACCCATCTAAGCAATAAAAAAAAACGCGAAAGTTTGTATGGATGTATGTTTGTTACTCTTTCACGCAAAAACTACCAGATGAATTTTGATGAAACTTTACTACAACACATAGGCAACCATTTATAAAGTTATAGTATACCCAAAATATAACGGTAAGTAGTAAAAAATCTGTCCTTCTATTTGCATAATTTATAATAATTTAAATATTCCCGAAGCGAAGCGAGGGCGGGTTGCTAGTTTTTCAATGTTTGTTCTCTTCTACTGTTCTAGAAAATTTTATAGTTAAACTGAAAACTAAAAATAACTCTTATATTATACTAAACACTAAGAATATGATAAGTTTGAGCACACATACCTGCAAGGGTGTACGGACGCCATGCTGGGTCCAGAGAGATGAGGGTGAGATTCCATCGTGACAGTCTTTTTAGCATGATCTTGGGACACGTCTTCGTACATCTGCTCCACAGTCAGCAGTGACCGGTTCTAGGAGGAAAACCATATTTTAAATAAATCAAGTTTTTTTTATTTCAGTAAAAGTTTATAAACTCTTTCAAATGATCTTTGACTGTCATCATGTAAGCTTAATTTACAAAATGCTAAAATGCACACATATGGAATGGAAACATAATCAATATCCAAACATGAACCCGGGTGTTATGTCACCAGGTTTTCAAATCACTCAGGAGTTCACTTTTCACCAGATGTCACATCCTAGTCAGTTCTTAGTGGAATAACAAAAGTAATGGATAATAATTAAAATCAGTCACCTCATCATATCCGATGAGCCACAGCCTCGGAGTTTGGTAATACTTGTCATAAGTGATGTGTAGGTCGTAAGTTCGAGTCCGGACGATCTCATCACCTTCTCCTTGCTTCTGTTTCTTATCGGCTTTGAGTTTTAGCTCTGTACGCTGGGCTAGATCTGTTGACTGATCATTTATTATTGATATTGTTAAATTTAATATTGCATTACTAATTAGCTGATAGGAGTTTGATAAATTCTTGTTCTTTATTATACACAGAAAAATCACAACAAAAGCGTAATTGTAATGGTGTAACAGGCGAGCGTAACTCAAACATGAGTTACATTTTATTGAGAAAAGTGATTAATTTGCCTATGTTGATTCTGATCTCTTTAACCCTGCATATGATATATGTAAGTCATTGAGAAAAGAGCTTTATGATTTGACATATACATCGAGGGTAATTGCAAAGTAAAATCTTTCACTGGGCTCACTTCTTAGTTAGTCTGACAGTAATGTAAGCACTTGGCGTTTGGCTAGTTTATAAAACAGAACTTACCGGATCTACTTCATCTAAAAGACCAGATTCTTGGAACTGCTCCATGTCCTCAGCCTCGCCCTCATCATCTTCGTCTTCATCATCATCACCACCGTCGGCAGCTCCATCGTCACTGTCGCCAGTGTCAGCTGCTTCGAGGGTCATCTCACAGACCTATTTTTAGTTTCGAATTTACAAAGGATTAAACAGTATAATTGTTTTACTTTCCTAACTGTCAATTGGTTTCAAGGTATGGCTGTAAAGGATATCTGCAGCTAATCTATATAGCTAATCTAATAATATATAAATCTACAGTGGTTTTTACGGATGTTCTATTATAACTACTGAACCGTGCATCCGATTGACTTGAAACTTGGTATCCATGTAGAAAATACATGTACTTAATGGATAGGCTAATATTTATATGAGTGTTGGACTCCCAAAGCCAGTTGCGGGGGCTTTAATAATGAGAATGTTTGTGGTGGTGAGAAATAATAATGTTAATTTAAATTCCTAGCAAAGCGGACGGGTACAGCACGTTGGTCTTTGTAAATAAGCAATTCAACATGCTGACCTTTTCCTCGAGTGCAGGGGAACCTGCATTGTCATAGTGATGAGTATCAACCCAGCCACCATCTGCATCATTTTCATCTTCTATCACTTTCTCTTTATCTTCACAGTATTCAATCTATAAAGAAATTAAACATTAACTCAATTAATGTCCAGTGGGTTGCATGGCCAGTTTGCACTTTACATACATGCATAGCTGAATGTTTTCTTTAATATGTGTATTTTTTTTTAAATTTCTAATTTCTAATGTACTTTTTTTTCTTTAAATAAACTCCAAGAAATTGTTCAAATATTGAGTACTATTTTTTTAAATTAATTAAGTTTGCTACTAATTTTTAGTGATTGCCGCTACCATGATGAAGTACAACCCAACAAGCAGGAAATTCTCTATTATATGATGTCTCTAAATTGCACTTATTTTTCAAGATAGTATAACAGCAGTATAAAAGAAAATGTTGAGCTTGAATGGATAGGTATTTTGCCACAAAGAATTGTATATAAAAACTTTTAAAACCATAATAAAATCTTAATATGATGAATACTAAAGTGGTTTATATCTAATATAATGGATCTTTGTTAGGCAATCTAGGAATTTAGGTGTAAGTGGGAATCATTGAAATCTACTCATGGAAGTCTATAAAATATAAAGAAGCTTGGGAACCTAGACATCTTTAATTATGATCCAAGCTACTGAACTATTAATGATTCCTAAAAAAAGATTTATTCCAGCTTCTTGGATATTACTAATCAGAGTCAGAATCTTTCAAGGCGTTTAGCATTCAGGATCTGGGTGTCTTGAAAAACAGTATCTTATTTTGTTAGCAACCTTCAGATAAGTGATAAACAGTAAGTAGAAATATACATTTAAAAAAAACATAATTCATAACTTGCAGAAAACTATTGTTTGTCACTGTTATTGTAACAGCATACAATTGAAACTGCAAGTTGTGTTGATTTGGTAATTATACTATTTGGCATAGGGTTGCAAGTTTACTAAGTGTCCAGCAATAGATTATGTGATTATTAATGTTATTAAAAAAAATACCTTTATAATTTAACAAATTTGAGGTACAATTTAATACAACTTTACTGCTTGTTACAAGCTCAAGCAACCATAATCAAAACTCCTTAGTAAGTGCTTGTTCTCTGCTGTATGGAGACATCCACAGAGAAACTTTCAGCTTATAAAAAATAAAAAAAGGTCTAGGCATCACAAGATCTTTCTCTAGATTATTACTTTATCCGGATAGTTTTGTGTTTACTCATGTGTAAAACTAAAAAATTATTTTACAAATTGTTAGAAGGACATTAGTCATTAGACAAAGAAATTTGAAATTAAATAAACACAATTCAACACTTCAGTTGTGCTTGACTATGATAACAACAAAAATTTTGAAATAGCTATTGCAAAATGACAACTTCTTGCGGAGGTTGTTAAGTCATAAAAACTGAAGAAACCGTGATATCTATTGTAGCTTACAAAAATTGTTTTAGCTTACTTGTTTACATCGTCTGTAGCATGGCACATTTCGAGTTATAAGGAATTGTTTGTCTGCAGGAAGGTAAGGCCTAATCTTAGCTTCCTCTCCCTTTGCCCACTGCCAGGTAGGGCAGTGGTGTACCAGGTGGTCACCAGCAGCCACAAACTCTTCAGGAGTCAGTACACCAGTTTCTTGAAATTTCGATTCCTAGAAAGAAGTGAATTTAATATAAATAAGCCTTTGGTTTGTTTTCAAATTTCTTAGTAACCTAATTGACTTGCAAATGATCCTCAAATCCCCATATTCTGGAATTACCGTTAAACTTGTGGGACACTCACTACAGAATATTACATTCTAAATAAATATGAAGCATAAAAGCTTAAAAATAAATGTTTATTTTTACAGGGTAAAAAGGTTATCAATATGTTCGGTCAGTCACCGATTTATATATATTATGAGTAATTTCAATAAGTATGTATTTAATAATGGTCGTGATAAACGTACCTTCAACACCGGTGTCAAGTAACCGGCCACGCCAAGGGCAGTTCCCTTTACTGTGTTTATTACACTTTGCATTGTGATGTACCTAATAAGATTATGGGTTGTTTTTTTTAACTATGAGCTGTCTTTTACACTATTTACTACGTATACCTAGCAATTTCCGGCCCACAAAAGAACTTATCAATTTGACAATTCAATTTGATTTGGTATACTTCTTTGTTCAAGTGTTTGCTCGTTCGGTGTCTCAATTAGTCTCAAATATATTAAGCATAGATTATACACTATATATATTAAGTGTATAATCTATGGTTCGGTGGTTACCGTACCATAGATTTTAAACTTAATCTACACTCTGTAATTTTAATTCAGCTTAAGACAGTGACACTTTTGCAGCAGGGATCTCGAACATTGTACCTATGCGTGTGTAGCCTGTGGTATTCGTATCGTTAGGTTTTCGCTCGTGTCATGTCATGCGGCCCGTACACACGTTAACTCTCTCCAGGTCATCCAATCCTGTTTCTGCAGGATTACCGTCGGAGCGTCGTGGTATGTGAGGAATGTAGATCTTCACGACGATCTAAATTTAGTACCGATTCGTAAATATCATAAGGAAGCGTCAGAAGGTCAGAGCGTTATTCAACAAAACGGTGCCACACACAAACTCTATTATCGGTAGTAGATTATGCAAAGCCTACTCTGGTAGGACTAGTGGCAGCAAATTCTTTCAGGTCGAGTTTGTGAGCCTAGCCGTCGGGAATAGCTTCATAAGCTACCAAAGAATAAATAGAGAAAAAAAAATTATTAGCTTGAGAAATTGTAACGAGATATGACTTAAGTCTTTTCTATAAAGGCTTTTAATCCCTTTGGCTTTATTACTAGGTCTTTTTTATAATCCTGAGCAAATGTATTTTCTAAGTTTTTCATTAAATTATTTAGAAAAATACTATGTGATATGATGTTTTTGCCTTTCTTATCCTGGAAAAACTTAAGTGCCACTGAATCATCAGGAACGATGTCAAAATTATCAAACATTCAATGTCAAAATTGTCAAACCATAATTCCATTTATTCTGCATTGCAAATCTACCAATTTCTCGTAATAAACCTTACACGGTACACCTATTTTTCTTTTTGTATACGTTAAATATCTAATCGAAGTTATCATTTATAGTAACCGGCTATAATGGAAGACGTATTAGACGAGATTGTTTCATCGGAAGATTTGCAAGTAACGATTAAAACTTTGTTGTTGATAGTGACTCACAAATAAATTTACAATTGTTCATAAATCTTTGTTTGTTTTTTTTTTTTGTAGAAATTCGAGAGGGTCTTTCATGAACAATTGCACCAAGGGAACGTTTCCCACAAAGCCCAGTTTGAATACGCATGGTGTTTAGTGCGCAGCAAGTATCCAACGGATATACGAAAGGTACATTTATTTACAAATACATAGTATAAAAACTGACGTCAATTTTACAGATCTCATTACAGTGGTATGTCAGAATATTATGCATATCATCAACTTGACTTGTTTTTGCCAAATTTGCTAAACAAAGCCATATTTATATATTTAAACATTAAGATATCTAAATATTTAATACAAATATACTTAATATAGAATACTAGCACTGAATATCACTACATTAGAAGAAAAAAATGTTGTTTCTAATATTTTTAAACCATTTTTTTCCTGTTGTGAAGTGTTTTTATTATTTTGAATGTGTATTCCAATGGACACATGAGATTATAATTAAAAATAAATTGAACTCATCATGGCTTAAAGGATGAGTCTGCAATGTACATGTGCAGAGAGATGTTACAATTTTAGTGTTAAAATCTCATAGGCACATGCAAATTTTTTAAGGAAATACCTACTACTACATGTTCACGAATGACTTCCAAGACAAAGAAATTATATTACATATTTAAATAAAAAACAATTATTATTCTACAACTTACTTAATAACTACCGGTAACAGGGAATACTGTGTATAATTAATGTCCACACTGGTAGTTAACACTATTTTGTCTATTACTGCCACATAATTGGCAGTCAAAATCATGTCATAGTCATGTTTTCTGGTTTGAAAGGTGAGACAACCCTTACACAATATAATCGAGACTTATCTTAAACTCAGGATGGTAAAATTTACATTATGATATTTATTTACCGGTCTGTGCATAGTTGGAATAGCCCCTTGGGCTACCAATGATTAGGGGAAACGTTTAAGAAAATAATTACCTCCTTGACTTTTGGTTAATAAGATATGATAATAAAATCAATTTAAATCAATCATTAATTTTTTTATTGTTTTGTCTTAAGTTTTAATCTTTGAAGCATTAAGTAAAAGCAGAAAAGAATGTATAATTTACTTGACAGCTGCAACTACAAAGCACGCTTAAACATTTGAAGTCTTCAGAAGTTCTAAGATGAGTATACTTTACAGGGAATCTTACTTCTTAAAGAATTGTTCAACTCTCATCCTGAAGGAAAACGTGACTACCTTTTCTACCTTGCCATTGGTAATGCCAGAATAAAGGAGTACAATAAGGCTTTGCATTATGTGAAATCATTCCTCGAGATTGAACCCGCTAATCAGCAAGTATTGGCATTAGAGGTAAGATCAGTTATAATAACATAAGTTCGAATGGCAGAATAGTAGAGTAGATACATGAGAAATCTTACATTTGAAGATAAATAATGACATTAGTCAGGTTGGCAATAAGTCTGAAGATATGAGTATGTATATGTGTTTTTTTTTGGGCTGTCGGCTGAACTTCATATGAGATTGTGGTAGGGCCAAACGAGTCCACTAGCATATTTCACCCCTCGTTTGATCTCCGCCTGGAGTCAGACCCAGTCAGAATAGGGAGGTACTAGTGGGGAACAATACAAGAATGGCGGGGCCACCCTTAGGACGTCTGACCGAAAGGTTGCCGAGACGACAGCCGACAACTTTACGTTGGCCCCGCTCAGAGCCGCTGATGACACGGAATATCCTGTTAGACCAGAACCGGCCTACTGGGTTGGGAAGGGATACACCAACAACCATATACTGTCCCACAGCAATTCTGTAGAACTGTTGTCTTAAAGCAAAATACATAACAATAAATAATATATAATTGTACATAAGCCCTTAATACTGGTTCAAGAAATAGTGGGTAGTGAAACTTTTTGACAAAGAAAAAAAATTTAAAAAGAAATTTGGTAAAAGTTAATGTAGTAAATTTATCTCCAGCTATGCATTAAGCCCTCACCTCAAGCTTCTGCCTTTTAGGTATGTCTTGTTATCCTAAGTGCTCATCTGGCGGTCCACTCACCACTTATCATTCCATTAACCATAGTTATTAAATGCTACTTGTTCATAACCAATCAGCAATAAAAAAAACTATTAAATTTAGAAAAAAATATTTTATTCATTCTAGCGTCAAATCAATAAACGTATGGAAAAAGAAGGTTTAATTGGAATGGCGGTGGCAGGAGGAGCTGTCCTTGCCCTTGGAGGGCTCGTGGGACTCGGAATCGCACTTGCTTCAAAGAAATAGCATTTAGCCTTGCTGTGAGTAGTTTGGACAACATAAATGTGTGAGAGTAAAAATTGCTAATTAAAAATTTTAGGTTGAGACTTTAATAATATTTAATCGGTGAGCTTATCTCTTTATTTATTTAACAAATCATATCTAATGTTCTAGGTACAATTAATCAAATTATGTATTTGTACTAAACACAAATTCTACATTCAACGCTATTGGAATTTTTGGCAACTTTTTGGTATTTCTGTAGATGGGCATCCAAGTTCACAGCACATATTGTATTCTGTGGTTCCCAGAGACACCACAACATAAATACTGCCACTCACTGTGACATGTGGTTAAAGTTTCAGTTGTATACAACACTAGAACATGTGTCTTACCCTTGCCTAGTGTATTCACTGCTTTAGCAGCTAGAATGCTGTGTATCTGCAACTATGACGACCCATGTAATTGTAATGTTTTGATAATTTTTATTTAAATCGATTTATATTATTTACAGAATGAATGCTGCTCTAGGTGTTCATTATCTCTTTAAGAGGAAGCAAATCAAAGAGGACTAAAACTTCATATGAATTTAATTAGAAATCATCCTATATCTCGCTGTGCACTGTATGTTATTTTGTTTTTGTTTATTAAATTAATAAAATAATAAACATCTAAAAATGCTTCTAGTTTGATAGTTCAGGTATCTAAAGAGTGTTGAGTTTATAGTTCGAATGAAATATGTGATATTATTTTTTCTAGATTTAGGTACAATGTAATTAGTAATGTTATAAGCAACAAAACGATTCCATTAGAATAAATTTATATTTTTTTGTTTTGGTTCCATCGTTTCCATATTTTACCACACTCAATAATCAATTGTGACGATTTGATTGATACAAATGGTCTTTTGCCATCTTCGTTGATGAAATACAAAAAATTATTATGTTAATACTTCACTGGTAGGACCTCTTGTGAGTCCGCGCGGGTAGGTACCACCGCCCTGACTATTTCTGCCGTGAAGCAGTAATGCGTTTCGCTTTGAAGGGTGGGGCAGCTGTTGTAACTATAGTGAGATCTTAGAACTTATATTTCAAGGTGGGTGGTGGGTGCATTTACGTTGTAGATGTCTATCGGCTCCAGTAACCACTTAACACCAGGTGGGCTGTGAGCTCGTTCACCCATCTAAGTAATAAAAAAAAACCATTTTAAAATTTAGTAGGTACGGACCTAGATTTTCCGTGAAACAGGAGTCTGGCTTAAAATTTCACCAATGTGAAACAATTTGATCGTACGAAAATAATTTAATTTGAAAATGTGAACGGTTTTAAAGAAATCCGCAACTTGTAGACATCAGTGTGCCTAGTGCGAGTTTTTTTCTCGATAGCGTAAAAGCCAACTCAAATTTGTATGCAGTTGGATCAGCGCCCCTAGCGGCAAACGTAGGCAAACTTTCCAACTCCATACAAATTTGTGTTAACTTTTACGCTATCGAGAACGTTAAAAAACTCGCACTAAGCACACAGTTTATTAACTATGGTGATATTTGATAGGCAGATCCCATTAGCGTTCCTGTTCTTATTTTGAACGTAACTGTCAGCATAGATTACAAGTTCTGCTGTCAGCTGTCAGCTGTCAGTCGGTTAGTAAATGAAATAAATCTTGCCAGTTTTATTAACACTGACAAATTGTAGTGTAGGCAGTTAATTTTTCAGTATTTT